CAACATAAGGTATCTGCATACAGGTCTTCTCCCTTTTGACATATAAAACTTTATACAAATAATTTACTTCATTGCCACTTCACTGCTGGATTGTAACCCTATGTCTTGTATTCTGCAACAAAAGTCTCGGGCAAGACAAAAATGGTAAAAGTTCCATTACTCCCTTAAAATTTTTCACAAGGGTGCACAAGCTGAAATGTCTCGCCTGTTTTACTTATCATTGAATTTACACACCGGGTTTGTCACTAAAACTATAACCAAATGACTCTCTCTGTAAAAGAAAAATTCATTGTTAGGTATCAAAATTTACATGTAAATCACAAAAGGAAAAATAAAATGCTTCGCTGGGCTCAGCTTGATACGACCGCAGAGGTCGAACCCTAAACAGTTGGGGCAAGTATGGACACAACATTCAAGCTTGATACAGCTCTGAATTTGGATTGTGATTAAATATTTGACACAGCATAGGTTTCTGACACAGAATGAATGTGGTCTAAGAATTTAAAAAATTTTAATTTACCTATTCAAACCATATTATTATTTGCTTTTATATATAAATCAGAATAACCAACTTAAAATGGAAAATTTAAAAGAAAAAAAAAAAGGAAAAAGTGGGGGAAAAAAAAAAAAGGAAAAAAAAAGCCCCCCAAAATTTTTTGAACCCCCTTATGATTCATCACCCCCAAACTCAATCCAAGCCTTCCATTTGTGGTATGGTACCTTGCAGTACAATTTCAGAGAGATCCATACACTTGAACACAAGTTATTGTCTGGAAACTAGAAAATGCTTGTTTTTTGGCTCATTTTTGGCCCCAAATTCCTAAACGTTTAGGGCAAATACCCCCAAACTCAAACCCAGCTTTCCCTTTGTGATATGGAACCTTGTAGTACAATTTCATAAAGATCCATACACTTACACACAAGTTATTGTCCTGAAACTAGAAAAATGCTTGTTTTTTGCTCCTTTTTGGGCCATAATTCCTAAACTTTTGAGGCAATTACCCCCCAAAATCAATCCCAGCTTTCCTTTTGAGGTATGGTACCTTGCAGTACAATTTCAGAGAGAGATCCATACACTTACACACAAGTTATTGTCTGGAAACTAGAAAAATGCTTATTTTTGGCCCCTTATTCCTAAACGTTTTGGGCAATTACCCCCAAACTCAATTCCAGCTTTCCCTTTGTGATATGGAACTTTGTAGTACAATTTCATAAAGATCCATACACTAACACACAAGTTATTGTCATGAAACTAGAAAAATGCTTGTTTTTTGCCCCTTTTTTGGCCCCTCATTCCTAAAATTTGAGGCAATTACCACCAAAATCAATCCCAGCATTCCCTTTGTGATATGGAACCTTGTGGTACAATGTCAGAGAGATCCATACACTAACACACAAGTAATTGTCTGTAAGTTACAAAAATGCTTATTTTTGGCCCCTTATTCCTTAACTGTTGGTACCATAACCCCCAAAATCAATCCCAACCTTCCTTTTGTGGTATTGAACCTTATGGTAAGATTTCATTGAGATCCATACACTTAAACTAAAGTTATTGTGCGAAAACCAATGTGTCTTCGGACGACAACGACGACGACGCCGTCATACCAATATATGACCGCAAATTTTTTTGCGGTTGTATAAAAACAGACCAAAAAACAAAACTTAACATTGACCAATGAACCATGAAAATGAGGTCAAGGTCAGATGAAACCTGAAAGACTGATATATACTGCTTACAACCATTCCATACACCACATATAGTTGACCTACTGCTTATAGTATCTGTGAAACAGACCTAATCATGTAACTTTAACCTTGAGCACTGATCCATGAAATGAGGTCGAGGTCAGGCGAATCCTGTCTGACGGACATGTAGGCGTTGCAAGGAACCCATATACCAAATATAGTTATCCTACTACTCATAATAAGTGATAAATAGACATGACAAAAAAACTGAAGTTTTTTTTCAAGCAGTTGCTGAACCATGAAAATGAGGTCAAGGACAATGGACATATGACAGATGGAAAGTTCGTAACATAAGGTATCTGCATACAAGGTATGAAGCATCAAGATCTTCTACCTTCTGAAATATAAAGCTTTATACAAATAGTTTACGCCGCCAGATAGTAATACCTATATCTTGCATACTTTCGTGGCAGTCAAGACAAAAATGGCAGACCAAAATGGTCAACTACACATGATGCATACATTCCTCCTAAGTATGAGAGTTTTCTGTCAAATGGTGTCAGAGAAGTTGAGTTCACAAATTGTTTCAGAAGGACAGAGAGCCTATGACAGACAGACACATGGAAGGATGGACGGATACTATTACCATATCTGGTCAGATCAAACCTGCCAGTCAGACATGTACACCTTACAATCATTTCATATACCAAATATAGTTGACCTATTGCTTATGAGTATATACTATTTTCAACCTTTTATGATTACTTGGAACTTAAAAGAAGACTTATTTGTTGAATAAACTGAATGTGATTTTTTTCCTTTGAAATACTGGTTATTTCAAGCATTACTGTCACATTTTGTCATAATCAGTTCAATAGTTTGAGAAAAATCTAGTATAAAGTAAGACGACATCTACAGTGATTCGAAAAATCCAATCAAGCCGCATCATGATAGAATATAGTGTGGACCAATAAATGATCAAATATTTATCTCATCTGCCTACAAACAGTTGAATATGATACAGAAGATGACTCTAGGATGATAAATACCACTAATGGACCTCTTTGTCTTCATTATAAGGTCCCTTTTGGTCCATTTATACCTCACATTTCCTCAAAATTTCAAATTTCACTCATTTATGAAAGAAATGTAAAAATAAATGAGTAATTGAAGTATTCAAGCTGAATGAACTATCCATATAAAAGTTTACTGATTCCATGGAGGTTTCAATAAGTTCTTACGTAAAACTTAAATTTACGCCGCGTTCCAGAATGGGACATAAAAAGCTTCCCTTTTAGTGACTAATTTGTTGTTACTGCTTCAAAAATACTTTCATTTACTAATAACTATATATTTATTAAAGTCTTACTTAGGAAAAAGTTTTCTATTATAGCAAAATATAAGAAAGAAGGAGAAAAAGTCAGAAAAAGCATCAAAACACTGGGTATGGCTTTCTCTGTCTACTAATATTCATGGTAGAGTCCTATTTCAAGGCAATTTTCTCATAAAATGTGTTTTTGAGACTCAATCCACTCAGAATATTTAATTTTTGTAATATTTCACTTAAATAGCATGAAATTTTAACAAATAAGAGTACACACAAGGTCAAATGTACATGTGCAGCTTCCCATAATAGGTGTAATACTACCATTGATTTTCCCCTATTAGTCTTTGTTAAATTTGCACTTTTCAAAAAATTGTGCAGAATTTATCTTTGTTTCAAATAAAAAGAACTTAAATTACTTAAAGTTTCATCCTGTCCAGTACTATAGACAAAATTTCACATAACATTTCATTGCATATAAGAAAATAACCATCACTGGAAGTTAACCAATCATATTTTCACCCCTTTTTTTCCTGTGTACAAGCTTTTGTAACCATGTAACATCAAGTTTCCAAAATATTCCATAGAAACACCAAATAAAACTAGAACGACACGAATGGCCCCGTCTCAAAACGTTGGAAAATCTGCAATTTCAACTACACATGTGGACACAAACATGTATGGATAGTATCTAGCTCTCAAGACCAATACTAGTTTGATGAAAAATTTCCTTGATCAGTGAGTAGTTAAATTTCAAACTATCAGCAAACAGGAAGTGGATGTACTGCAGATCTAACAAGATGTGTTGAAACGACATGAAAATCAGCATAGCAGAATGAAACTTAAACTCGATCTGTAACACATCATGGTTAACTCACATACCAAAAATCTGCCCAATATCTGAAGGCGTATTGAAAAAGTCTGTATAACTGTGATTTTCAACAATTTATCAAAGTCCAAAGCCCGTAATTTTGGCAAAAATTAGCAGAGCACAACGCAACTTAAACTTGATCTGTAACTCATCATGGTTAACTCACATACCAAAAAATCAGCCCAATATCTGAAGGCGTATTGAAAAAAAGTCCAGATAACTGTGATTTTCAACAATTTATCAAAGTCCAAAGCCCGTAATTTCGGCAAAAATTAGCAGAGCACAACGCAACTTAAACTTGATCTGTAACTCATCATGGTTAATCACATACCAAAAATCAGCCCAATATCTGATGGCGTTTAGAAAAATAGTCCAGATAACTGTGATTTTCAACAATTTATCAAAGTCCGTAAATTTGGAAAAAATTAGCAGAGCAGAACGAAAATTAAACTTGATCTGGAACTCATCATGGTTAACACACATATCATAAATCAGCCCAATATCTGAAGGCGTTAAGAAAAAAAGTCTGTATAACTGCCCGTAATTTCAGCAAAAATTAGCAGAGCAGAACGCAACTTAAACTTGATCTGTAACTCATCATGGTTAACATACATATCATAAATCAGCCCAATATCTGAAGGCTTTTAGAAAAAAAGTCTGTATAACTGTGATTTTCAACAATTTATCAAAGTCCAAAGCCAGTAATTTTGGCAAAAATTAGCAGAGCGGAACGAAACTTAAACTGATCTGTAACTCTCTGTTTAGAAAAAAATTGTGTATAATGGTTTGTTGCGGAATGACGGAATAATGGAATGACAGAATGACAGAATGAAGCAATGACGGAATGACAGACAAGGGTAAAACTATAAGGCCACAACAACTTTGTTGCGGGGCCATAAAAATAATGGTGCTTTGAAACACCCAAGACATATGTTTATGACTCAGAAATTTTTTTATGCAATGAAATGTAGGATTAATTTCCTACAACTGTCAAATTCAAGGGAATATTTTTTTTCTACCATTTTTCATATGCAACTGGATGTGATGTACTATGATTTGGTGGTATTACACCTTAATACATTCATAATTCTGTGTTCATGAATGAAAAACAAGAAAGCATTAGTATTAAAGATTTATTACAGTGTCTCTGTCGTAAAATGATTTCAGAATATACAAAAATAATAACATAACAGCAATAATAAGCTATAACAAATGATGCACAAAAATATTTTTGCAAATAAGTAAGTAATTGTTAGGGTGGAGACAAAAATACTGGCAAAATAATTTGATTTGTATTATGCAGCATAAGAGGCAAAAATTAAAATAAGGATATATCCCCCTATTTGTAATTTAAGTATACCTGGTTCATCTTATTTCATAATAGAATTCTATTGTGGTGAACATAAAATGAAGAACTCTATTTTTAATGCTAATTCAATGTCTGAACTTATCATAGGCTCGTTGAAAATTTCTTTCTCATGCCGAAATAAAGCACATGAAATATATAATTTATTGTTTTTTTTATCTATATACAGATTAATTACACATTTTTGGTTAACTTTACTTAGGGCAACATGTTTGTGTGAATTCATCACTTTAAATACACCCTTAATTATGTATAAAGGTTATATGTAGTTTTTTTTCACCTTTTTACAGAAATTTTTGTATGTGTTTTACACATTTTGGTACACTTTTATTCAGGAAAAACACAGAAGGCAAATAAAGTTCACCGACAAATTTCACAGGTCCCAAAACAAGTACCAGTCTGACTGTCTTGAGTATCAGTTTAAGATTTTTTGGAGTACCAGTCTACCTAAGATTTTTGAAGAAAAACTCTATTAGAAACAGACACTAATAAAATATTATTAAAAACCAATACTTCTAAATAAAAGAAGTGTAATTTCTTGGTTATAAAAAAATTTGAAATATGAAATTTTATATTAATGGAATAGTTTTTCTTCGTCTGTCAAATAAACAACAGAATGCATCTGTTCATGGTGGTCACAAAAACACATCATAAGAACAAAAATGACTAGATAAAATTATCAATTAACACAAAGTCCTTGGCATGAACAGTAATACAAAGATGTATAGATGAGACTGTTATACATTATCTGAAAAAAAAAAAAAAAATAGACTGGGCAGCTTGAATAACAAAAAAACTATTATTTCATATATTTTCTGAAGTAAGGCTTTTTTGTACAGAATTTTGTGACCTTGAACCAAGTAGTATTAGAGCAAAATATCCCATCCACCTTTCTAACTTCTCCATCAACCAGTGTATAAAAGAATTCAGTGTGAGGGTCAGATAATGTAACTGAGGTTATGAAATATTTACATTAAATCTATTTTTTAATTTTAATGAATTTTCAGGATATTAACAAGACAAAATTGCACGTGTTAAATATGACAGAATTTTTAAAAAATCAAAATGCTCGACTACAACTGGTTATATTTGACCATAAATATTTACAATGATTTAAGAGAAAAAGATTGTGTAAATATAATTATTTGAGTTTATGTTTATTTGAGCTTCAATTGAAACACCAGTTCCTCCTGATTATTAATTTAAAAGTCAATACTATTAATGGAATACACTAAAATAAAACTATCAAAAAGTTTAACAAGATGATAGCCATGATAAGGTGATTAATATGAAAATATGGCTGAAGATTACAGAAATTCACAAAATGGCATGAAGTTACAGGCTTTAACAATAAAGCTTGGAATATTTATTGAAAGTACTTCGAAAAATAAAGAAAAATCATTAGCTCAAAAGATAGTGTTGCTATTCATGTATCTGTGGACCAGTTCTTTTTCTGGAGACTGACTACATTAACATTTATACAAGAAGTTTCAGCATTGCTGTAACATATACAATAAGATAAATTCACAGAATTTTTACAAGAATTTACAAAATGTATATATTTATATAAGCAAATAAATGTAAAAGCACCATATACACAGCAGCATATTAAAAATAACTGGTCAAATACTTGACTTATTTGTATAAAAAAACTGCTAAAACAGATATATGTGAAGCAGGAAACGATAGTTTATACAAAAGCGGCAAATTGTATTAATAGTATAGAATAATTTTATATTCTAAATTACTTGATCAAGGACAAGGAATCTACCATTGACATTAGACACAGGAAAGTACCTCTCAATCAAATTACATGTAGCTAATGGAATACTCAAGAATCCTTTCATATTTCTGGTTACAGTGATTATCTGATATGTTTCTAGTTACTGTAAATTAAAAAATTATTGCGTGCATTTAATAATCGATTTTTGAAGAGCGGACAAAAATGGGAGCTTAATTATTGCAATTTCAGAAATTTGTATTATGATATATGTATCAGATATCATAATGCAAGTTCTTATTATTGTGGCACTCAGCCTGAATCATTATTGGCATTAATATAAATCTCTCAATAATTTCTGAATTTACAGTATGCCTGAGGGCTGTTTCATAAAAACATACATGAGACCCAGGGAAGGCACTTTGAAATCTCAACTATATATGGGTGGGTGTTAAAATTATTTTGAACAGTGAAAATGTAATGAGAAATTCTTAATTGCCTCTATAGTTGGTTACCCCATTTTTAAAGTGCCTTCCCTGGGTACCATGTATGTTTTATTAATGGAACAGCCCAGATAGCTGACTGTATAAAAATGGGTTATTACAGTGTTTGGTTTTACCCTTACTTGTTTCATGCTGTGATTTCTAACAATATCATTTTGTAAACAACATATCTTATTTGTCTCAAAGATTGGTCAATGTAAAGTTCAATTCGTCTGTGAAGACGACAATAAATTGTGAATTCTGCCTCTGAATAAACCATGATTGAATAAATATCATATGTTCCTGCTTCACAACTATCAAAATTATAAACACCTCATTGTCAAATAATTACATAATTAATGATAATTAACAAATAGCTACAACAATAACAGCATAAAATTTATCAAAATGACTCCAGTAAAAATGAACACATCCTTATCACAGAATTAGAGTGCAAGGCCACTCAAATCTTTTCTTATAATTTTGTTACCATCCTCGGAGAATATACTGCAAGGCAACAATTATCTTTCTCCTAATAATTATACAGCCGTCTTCAGAGAACAGATCATGGCACCCATTTATTTTTATTATCCACAAAGAGGAACATAATCCATCAAAAAATTGTTAAAAAAAAACCCAACTAATTTATTGCAACCAAAATTATATCATTGGAAAAATGGGATTTGTATAATGAAATAAATCATTATTTAGTCACTTTGTGAAATTGGATATCTTTTTGGGGAGTAATTAAAACTAAATGTCACCATCAAAAGTATCTTTTCTAAAAAATTCTTTATCTTCTTCTAGTTGACATATTAAAATTCTTAAAAAAAAACAAAAAAAAGGAAGAAAAAAAGAAGAAAGAATGTAAAAAGGAAGCAAATAAGCATTATTCTTGCTAAGATCATTAAACATTTTCCACCTGTATTAAAAATAAAAACATTTAAAGATATTCTACAATGTCAAAAATTCATATCTGCTTACTGATAATAAACAGTTACGATATTAAAATAAATTTTCATCCTTATGTCTGAGCATCAGACAAAATCTAGTCTTTTAATTGTGAACATTATAATACAAATTATATTACATGTATAAAAAGTTGTTTTTATTTGAAACATCTGCTGATTATATCAGTCTACGTTCACAAACTTAATATCAATATTTTCAGGAAACCTTCATTTCTATTTTTTCCCCAAACAGTTCTATATTATCGATTATTTGCAAAGAAAACATTATGCCCTCAGAAGTCATTCACATGTATATAAAGTCATTCCATCATATAAGGCAAGACTGAAGAGTTCTTCAAAGAAAGACAACCCACCATGCGGCAGTTGAATCACTTGCAGTTCGGTGTTGAAGATTTTTTAGGCACAGGAGGTGGTGATCCTCCTTCATTTGGAAGCGGAGGTATAGGCTGAAAAGAGAAAGAAGAGCATTCACACATGCTGTTACAATGTAGTGCGAGCATTGAAATGAGATGTATTATGTATTAATATTTACATAATAATGCATATGCAAACAAAAAATTTTATTCAGATATATTTAACTTAGTTCAATAAAGATGATTGATGAAAGTTGATGTTATGTGCATACATGAAGATGATAAGTAGCTTTTTAATGTGAAAAAGTAATGAAAAACATGCTATATACAAAGATAAAAGAATATAAAAGTATTGAATGATAAATGCAATGTTAATTTGTGTTTGGGATAAAACAATATAAAGAAAACCTAAAACTGGTTCTTAGCTTCCAAAATTTTATTTGGAAGTGTTGTTTAATAGCTACTTTGGGGACATTAAACATCAGACTTATTTAACGTTCAAGCTATTTTCCTTCTATGGCTTCTATATACCTTCTATTTCAAGTGCTTACCAGATTTTGTTTCTATATATTTACGCTGTGATCCCTTTTCATCAGTTTATCTGATATTCAACAATAATACATGAAAGGAAACTATGTTAAGCTTGTTTTCATTATAAACTAGCACATACATCATCTGTACTTCAAGGCTGCCTTCCTGCATCTTCGTGTTCATTTTGCATATTAAAATTTGAAACATGTCAGACCTTAATGCCTGTTTTTTACACTCTACCGGTTTCTTAAAGAAAGAAGATCGCTTTTCCTTCTGGTAAAATTACGAACCTGAATGAGCAAAATGTTGTGAAAGAATTTCACCATAATTGTATGAATATATGCTTTAGATGAATTTTATGTATTTAAAAGATATTAATCACCAATGACAATAACTTTCTTATTAAATCAATAACAAGTATGTTTGAAAAAAAATGTAAAAAAAATATGATTATATGATTGAAGATAACAATATTCTAACTCCTTCCAAATAACATTAATAACTCAGTGTATATTTCTTCATCGTACCTGAGTGCATATTTCTTTATGAAAAATTTCTTTAGATTTTTGGAAAGATCACTTTACAAGCTACTTTATTCAGACTAAAGGATAAAACAAAAACCTTATTTCAAATTATACATTCTACCTTGTACACTAAAGTGATATACATATCTAATGTATGTTATGTTAGTGAATTTAATATTGTAGCTTTGTCCTTCAAATGAATATATTTTAAGTTTAAATGCTTCAAACCCCTTTACACAAGAGAATATTTTGAATTCACACTCAGTGACTGATATAGCATGAATTAAGAAGCAATTTACTGTATACCACAGCAATATGTGGTACAGTAACCTGGATTCCTGTTATGTGATTTTACTGATACAGTAAACAAACCATAGGGTAACAGTTATCAACAATATGTAATGTATGGTACTTGGTAGACACTCAAATGCATTTTGCAAAAAAAAAAACCCAAGTATTCCTAAAAAATAATAAATCATAAAGAATAACACAATTTGACATGAAAACAATATAATCAATAAAATTCAATGTTTATCTTTGCGGCGTAACAGTTCCCTTTCTTGCTTCTTTGTGAGGATATGATCTGTCCCATGTAACCTGTTGTCTGTCATAGGTAACTTGCTGTTTCGACGAAATGGAAATAAACTTGCCATGTTTACCTTAGACTTTCTGTGACCAATTTGTCGATTTGGCATTTGCGGTGTCTCATTGGTAGTTGTAGAATCTGCACACTTATCAGGTAATGGTGGAGGTTCATCAGATGATTCTGTGTCACTGTTGTTATCTGTCAACAAAACAAGCAAACAAAAAACTCATCTTTTGACACTAGTCTTTGAATACAGCAATATTATAGTGCTTGTGATATTGTCTTATGTTTTACAATTAAGAATTTGTTTTTATTAATACCATGATCCTTCTTATTTTGTTAAGTTAACCGGATGTCAATATATCCTCTTGGACTTTATATTCACACCAGACCACTTCATCGAGATCTTGGAGTAATAATGCTGTAATAGCAATGTTAATTTATGATAACTATTTCAGTGCAGACAATACCTGCTTCTGCTAAAACCAAGGTAGGCTTGAGACTAAAAACTTGGGAAGCCAATTACATGTTTGGGAGCATCAAAATCTCAATTTTTGTACATAATTTATAAAATGAAAATTTGCAATCAAAATGGATCCTTTAAATTGCACCAATCAATAAAATCACTGGTAACTAGACAAAAACCAGAATAGCTTAGAAAGATACAGTTAAATTTTAGTTTGAACTTACCTAGAGATTTCAAAGTAGTCAAAGAACTGACTTGCAATCAAATGATCTTTACAGGCACCGGACCTCAAAAATGTGTTTAACGCAAAGTGTTTATTCAAGACAGTAGGATGATTAAGACTGTTATTGATAAAAACAAACCCAGTTTTTCAAAGACGAAGATTTTTTTTTCAAACTTTATGAAAAACAGAGGATGCTCAATGCTTTATAATAACAAAAGTACATATTTGCTCCTTACAATTAAAAAACCCACTCAATTTAAGGCACATTTGGTACAAACCTATCAGAGAGGAGTTGCTGCCTGCGTTATTAAGATATGACAATGTTGATGGGGCAAACTGATTACTGCCTGGTCGAGTCTGTCTGCGGTCATTGGCATCTGGTCGCAGTGGACGTCTTGGTGTAATCTAATATTATAAATGAAAAAAATTTAAAACCATATCTATCATTTTATGTAATGAATTCCTGCTGTTTATATTTGATTACTTTCAAAAACTTATACCTATTCAATCTGCAAGACTTGCTCATGACATCTTTACATTAAATCTGTTGAAGATGTACTGATATTTTAGTCTGGGAAAACATGATCTATTCATTACTTAAAATTGTGCCTTGAACTTTCTTTGGTGGATAATGGTTTCATTGGCAATCATATCCACTCCTTATTTTTATAATGCATACATGATTCTTTCTTTAAGTACCGGTACTGTAAATTCAGAAATTATTGTATGCATTTATTATTGCGATTTTTTGAGAAAGGCCAAAAATGCAAGATTAACTATTGCAATTTCAGGAAAACTGCAACCAGTTTCAAAATGGGAGTTCTCAGTATTCCGATACTCACCCAGTCGCATTTTTTGCATTAATATAAACCTCACAATAATTTCTGAATTTACAGTACCAATATCTAACTTTTTTCAAAAGCTGATAGAAAAGTATATTTATTCTTTAACATTTAATGGAATAAATCAGTCAAAACCACCAAAATGTTAAATAAAATGTTTATAATATGTTAAAACTTAAAGCAGGAGTGTTTTCCCTTGCCCAGGCAAATTAATCAAACTTGATATAGTAATGTCTTTCATGATCTAACTAATCATGAGTACCAGATTTTCGTATGAACTGAGCCTGCATAATGGAAACCATCCTTGGCTCTTTTTTTACTTCATTGACCATTATACACTTTTTTTTTTAAATCCCTGTGAGTAGAATTATCTTCTAACAAATTTTTATTTTTAAGAAATGATTGTTTTATTTCAGGCATGATATGTATGATTGTTTTTTTTTTACAAGAAGCTAGACTGCATTACTTTTACATATGGTCCAAACATACTTAAACCTGTATAAGAAATCAATTTACCAAAACTTAAAACACACAAATCATTATATGCTTTATTGAATAAATATCTTACAAATAGATACAAATGCGTTCAGGTAATATTTCTGAGAATATATCAAGTGGGAGCACATGTTTGAAATAGACATCTTTTAACGATTGTTGAAAATCATTTCAAGGAAGTTTGATTAAAAGATAGAAGGACATATTGAATATGAAGTAGTTTACTAATCATGCCAGTTACAAGTTATATATTCAATGCAGGTTTGATTTTAACTTTTATATAATAAAAAACAGTCATGCTTGGAAAGAACTGTTTTGTATGTACCAGTCAGACATTTTTCTCACAATTATAGCAACAATTAGTACTATTAAAGCATATACAACACTAACCAAATAAATCATATAATAAAATGCTTCGCTGGGCGCAGCTTGATACGACCGCAGAGGTCGAACCCTGAACAGTTGGGGCAAGTATGGACACAACATTCAAGCTTGATACAGCTCTTAATTTGGATTGTGATTAAATATTTGACGCAGCATAGGTTTCTGACACAGAAAGAATGTGGTCTAAGAACTTCAATTTTTTTAGTTTACCTATTATGGTCCAATGTCCATAATCAAAATACATGGTTAGATTCAGCATATCAAAGAACCCCATATATTCAATTTTTGTTGAAATCAAACAAAGTTTAATTTTGGACCCCAACTTGGACAAACTTGAAAACTGGTCCCATAATCAAAAATCTAAACACATGTTTAGATTCAGCATATCAAAGTACCCCAAGAATTCAATTTTTGTTAAAATCAAACTAAGTTTAATTTTGGACCTTTTGGACCTTAATGTAGACCAATTTAAAAAACGGGACCCAAAATTAAAAATCTAAAAACACGGTTAGATTTGGCATATCAAAGAACCCCAATAATTCAATTTTTGATGAAATCAAACAAAGTTTAATTTTGGACCCTTTTGACCTCAATATGAACCAATTTGATAGCGGGCCCACAAATAAAAAATCTAAATACATGGTTAGATTCAGCATATCAAAGAACCCCATATATTCAATTTTTGTTGAAATCAAACAAAGTTTAATTTTGGACCCCAATTTGGACCAACTTGAAAACTGGGCCAAAAATCTAAAATCTAAATACATGTTTAGATTCAGCATATCAAAGAACCCCATATATTCAATTTTTGTTGAAATCAAACAAAGTTTAATTTTGGACCCCAACTTGGACAAACTTGAAAACTGGTCCCATAATCAAAAATCTAAACACATGTTTAGATTCAGCATATCAAAGTACCCCAAGAATTCAATTTTTGTTAAAATCAAACTAAGTTTAATTTTGGACCTTTTGGACCTTAATGTAGACCAATTTAAAAAACGGGACCCAAAATTAAAAATCTAAAAACACGGTTAGATTTGGCATATCAAAGAACCCCAATAATTCAATTTTTGATGAAATCAAACAAAGTTTAATTTTGGACCCTTTTGACCTCAATATGAACCAATTTGATAGCGGGCCCACAAATAAAAAATCTAAATACATGGTTAGATTCAGCATATCAAAGAACCCCATATATTCAATTTTTGTTGAAATCAAACAAAGTTTAATTTTGGACCCCAATTTGGACCAACTTGAAAACTGGGCCAAAAATCTAAAATCTAAACACATGTTTAGATTCAGCATATCAAAGAACCCCATATATTCAATTTTTGTTGAAATCAAACAAAGTTTAATTTTGGACCCCAACTTGGACAAACTTGAAAACTGGTCCCATAATCAAAAATCTAAACACATGTTTAGATTCAGCATATCAAAGTACCCCAAGAATTCAATTTTTGTTAAAATCAAACTAAGTTTAATTTTGGACCTTTTGGACCTTAATGTAGACCAATTTAAAAAACGGGACCCAAAATTAAAAATCTAAATACACAAGTTAGATTTGGCATATCAAAGAACCCCAATAATTCAATTTTTGATGAAATCAAACAAAGTTTAATTTTGGAACCTTTTGACCTCAATATGAACCAATTTGATAGCGGGGTCCACAAATAAAAAATCTAAATACATGGTTAGATTCAGCATATCACAGAACCCCATTTTTTTAATTTTTGTTGAAATCAAACAAAGTTTAATTTTGGACCCCAATTTGGACCAACTTGAAAACTGGGCCAAAAATCAAAAATCCAAATACATGTTTAGATTCAGCATATCAAAGAACCCCATATATTCAATTTTTGTTAAAATCAAACAAAGTTTAATTTTGGACCCTTTGGACCTTAATGTAGACCAATTTGAAAACTGGACCCAAAATTAAAAATCTAAATACACGGTTAGATTCGGCATAACAAATAAATAAATGTGGTCAAAGATTTTACAAATCTAATGCGCAATACTGGTCTTCCTTTATAAATATGCATTTCTTTAAACATAATTTAAAAGCAGTGTAAGGGAAGTAACCAAAACGTTGTATTTGGATTACCTCCCTTACACTGTTTTAAATTATCTTAATTGTTCATTAACCATTACTTTATACATAATTTAAAAGCAGTGTAAGGGAGATAATTTCAATGATGTATTTGATTTATCTCCCTTACACTGCTTTAAATTATGTTTTGTACTAAAGTATTTGTCCATTAATGAGGACAACCTTGTTTTTCCCCCTTTTTTGCCCCTAATTCTTAAACGGTTTGAGCAATAACCCCCCAAAGCAAATCCTAACCATCCCTTTGTGGTATGGAAACTTGTAGTATAATTTCAGAGAGATCCATACACCGTTCCACAGTTATTGTCTGGAAACTAGAAAATGCTTATTTTTGGCCCCTTTTTGGCCCCTAATTCCTTAACTGTTGGTACCATAACCCCCAAAATCAATCCCCACCTTCCTTTTGTGGTATTGAACCTTATGGTAAAATTTCATAGAGATCCATTCACTTAAAATAAAGTTAGAGTGCGAAAACTAATGCGTCTTTGGACGACGACGACGACGCCAACGTCATACCAATATATGACCACAAAAATTTTTTTGCGGTCGTATAAAAAGGGTAAGAAATGGTGATGACGACCAGAAAAAAATTCATGCAGTCTGGTCAATACTTACTGGTATATTTTTCCAGGGATCCATCTGTTACAGAAATTAAAATGACATGTTTTAAGTAAAAATGCTAATTCTGTATGTGTCTGTCCCTAGTCAGGAGCCTGTAATTCAGTGGTTGTCGCTTGCTACTGTATATCATATTTGTTTTTCGTTTATTGTTTTGTACATAAATCAGGCCGTTAATTTTCTCGTATGAATTGTTTTACATTTGTCAAATTAGGTCCTTTTATAGCTGACTATGCATTATGGATTTTGCTTATTGTTGAAGGCAGTACAGTGGTGACCTATAGTTGTTAACTTCTATTTCATCTGGCATCTGGTGAAAGTTGTCTCATTGGCTATCATACAACATCTTCTTATTTTTATATAAACCTGTATCTAAGAATGTAGAACCTATGAGAATATGAATGATGGGAGTGTAAACAGCATAAAAAAAGGTCACAAAAGATGAAAAGCTACATAATAACTTATAGATTGAAACAAAAACAAAAATTGATCAAATAAAAAGCCTTATTTTTGCTACATCTGTCCAAAATATTAACAAAAATTCATCGATAGTATTATTTTTTTTTTTCACATACATTATAATACACATTAAGGAAATATTACTTAGAATTTTTTTTCAATATAAAATCAGTAATTTGAGTAGCAAAAATAAGATATCCCATTCTGCATGTCAACATCAGTTTCTAATGGCTATTATAAATATTTTCTTGAGCATCATTCAAACCATTTCTACTTCTTTTTTTTTTTTTCCTATCAAATTTCTACATAAAAGGTGCATCTAAACACGATAATTTCATAATCTAATATATGTAAATTTGTACTGACGAGTACAGATCTTTAACAGCCCAAAATAATGTGAGACCAATTAATGTCCATCATGAAAATGTTGTACATGAGGTAGAATTCCAAATAAAGTTTTTTATAATTGCGACATCTTATTGCATTTTTTGTTTTCATTAATTGATGAATTTACAGTATTCAGTGTTTACAAGACCATAGCAAAACTGATGCTGACATACAGCAGCAAACCAAACATAAAGGGTACATGCCTGCTCAGTTAACTCAATAGGTTGTTCAAGCGAGTTACGATTACTGCTACCCCCTTCGCTACTCTGATCAGAAGCAGCAAATGAGGTGCGTTTGAATAAGTTGCTGACTTTTGCTCCCTTGTTTGGTGATATACTGTTAGATCTGTCAGCTTTGACAAACACTGATGGTGTACGACTGGCTGGTGTACGTATCACTGGCGTTGCATAGTTTGATCTGAAAACAGAAGCAGATGCAATAATTATTCACATTTATATAAAAATTCACAAAAAACTGTAAAAAGAACTATAATTCAGAAAACATACAGCTAAGTTTAACATTTTCAGGTCTCATATTAATAATAGACATCAAAATCATATCACAAATCATTTTTTAATTATGATTCATCGTTTTGAAGTATTTTAAAGGATAATTCAGTATCATGATTACTTACTTGTAAGATAAAAAAAAAAGCATGATCAAATTCAAGTAAAGAGTTTAAACAAAAGTTTAAATTTTCCTCTGATTGACAATAGATTACACTTGTAAATAATACATTACATGAAACAAAAAACTGATGTCATCTGCATGAAAACAATTTTACAATTACATAACTTATAGGCAATAGATGTCCAGAATTTTCAGACTGAGGATGCCTGTTTTTCTCTTCACCTGGATGTCTACCAAAAATATATGCCATTACTTTCTTTCATTACTTTTCTCATCAAAACCAGAAAATAAAATTTAGGTAATCTTGTTCTCAAATGTAGATATATAAAACTAGAGGATAGTGATGGGGAACCATCATAGAGGACGCCTCTCTAGTTAACAAGTAAATTGAGATGGGTTATTTGTTTTAAACATAGCTTATACCCAAGGAAGGCGGAAGTAAATTGAGATGGGTTATTTCTTTTAATTACACCTTATATAAGAATGCTGGATTTTGATTGGTTGGTAGCCAGTGCATTTTTCGCATATTCAAACCTTTTTTTCTCATTTCAAACGAATTTGCATGTTTTTCACCACTGCCGGTGAATTTGCCTCAAATTCCCTTCTATGCTGTGGTATTTGCCACTTTGGATATTCCTTTTTTACCCTCACGAGCTTCTTCCCACCAAAATCATTCGGATATGACGTTAAATAAAGACAGCGCTAACGCGTATAAGTACATGTATAATTCCCGCTGTATTATGATAGTCTCTACTTATCCTCAAAATTATGCATAAACATGTTTACAGCTGACTAGTAAAAAAATATTTCCTTTCACCAGTACAGAGAGTTTCAATCAAAATCTATTCGGTGTAATTAAACAGATATATCATGTTATGGAGGGGTATTTGCGAAAAATACCAGTCTTGGGACCAAATTTCCCTTGCCTAGTGGCTCTGAAAATTTAACAGTCCCTCGACTGGTATTTTTCGCAAATACCCCTCCATAACATGATATATCTGTTCATAAACATAGCCTATACCCAAGGAAGGCGGAACTTTTCTCAAGCACATGTTATTCAACCCCGAACTGCAGTGTGTTTTAAAGCATGCAAAGGACAAGTGGATTACTATAGGCCTTCTGAATCAGCAGGGCCCTAATCAAAAATATTCATATTTCTGTCCTTGCAATGATTGTTGAGTGAGTAATAACAAGTTGAACCCTTATGACATTAAAGATACTAAGATGTTTAAAGGTGTAACAATACGAATATTACATTTATTGATATAAAGAAATATGGCATTAAAATTGAAATACTAGACAGTTATAGACACGTTCCCCTTAGCAATAATATCAAATTTAAAGGAGTAGGGGCATTAAGGCCCAGTTTTGGGCCAAGAACATAAGTTTTTGAAAACTATTTCAAATTTGCAAATAATGTTTGGAAATGCATAAAATAAAGATATATAAATGAATTATATAAGATTTTTTTATTTTATGACGTCAGAATTAAGTCATAATATGAACAATTTTCATGAAAACGAAGAAAATGTCAGAATTAATGCATTTTACATCATTATTTTTATTGCGGAAACATCGTGCGCAGCCAAGAAACAACAGAATAATCTAAGAGAAGCTTTATTATAACTATTGACACAATCTCACCAAGTATAAAGTTGTTTCTTGCTTGCGTACATACTTTTCCAATCAAATATGTACTTAAAAATTTATGTAAAATAAGGAAAATCAAGAAATTTAACCAAATATACAAATTTCGTCATGGTGTGTTGCCAAGTTTTTACTCATTAAATCTGAAATTTGTTTTTATTTTCTGAACACATTGAACCCTAGGGTAGTTTAAGACGAATTTAAGAATATATATGTTAACTTTTCAATTTGAAGCAATATTTGGGCCAAATAAGTTGAAATAAGGGCCTTATTGCCGCTACTCATTTGGATTTGCATACATTTCTTTATTATCAAATATCAAGATTTGGATGAATTCCTATAAATAAATAGAATATCCAAAAGTAATAAAAGAATTGCAGTTAAACCAAAAACAATGTAGTAGTTATAGTTTTTTGTGAGATTTGCAAGAATTACTGTTACACTAAAACCATTTAGTAATTTGTAAGTAATTAATCAATGAGAAGAAAAATTAAACAGCAAAAAAAAAAGACCACAACAACAAAATCAAAACAAAATATGAATGTAATTAGTTACTCAATACAGATTTATCATTTTTAGATATCGACTATATGGTCAAATTATATATAGAAATAAAATGAACTAAGGTAGACAGTAACCAAACAACAGAAGAAGACCAAAAAATAAACTTCTAGTGGTCAAGGTCTTAAACAATGACAAAAATCAGATAGTATGCTCTATATCACATTGAGTTGAGAAAAGTTGTAAATTATCCACAGGAATGCTTAAGATCTGACATCAAAATAAATTTCTTAAGAATAAGCTATTGAAAGCAAATACATTTATAAATGTTAAAGCATCTAAATATAGCTTTTAGTTATATTCTGTTTTATCTACTATTGCCTCAAAAATTCTTTCACAGTTAGAATGTCTTTACTTTTCATTTCTTAATAAATCGAACATGAAACAGTACAAAATGTCCTCCTACAAATTTAAATGGATAATAAATATTTTTAAAAAAACCCAAGTTATTCTATAATGTACAGCTGAATCTTGTTGTAGAACGTTTTCAATACCTAATACCATTAAAAGTGAATTATTTCTCCCATTATGAATGTGTACATTGATCTTGAAAAATCATGACATTGTATTGTTAAATGCCTTCACTCTTCAATATCACAATGACAGAGTGTGCTTAAAACAAGACTCAACTGTATATTATATATTACAACATTAGCTAGCTCTCTACTTTACAGTTAATACTCATACACATATAAATAAAATTACCTAAGTCGGTTCAGACTGAAATGGTGAAAATATCAACTATTTACTTATATGTATGTCAATAATTATAAATATATAATCAATTCTGAATAATCAAGTTGCTATAACATCTCATCTACTGAAGCTAAGAAGTAATTTTTCAAGAATTTTTTATATTAACTATTTACTTATATATATTTCAATCATTTCTGAATCACCTAGTTACTATAGCATCCCATCCACTGAAGCTAGGAATTACTTACTTTTCAGATTTTTTTGATTTTTTAAAACATTAACCTTTTTTGAAATGGTGCTCATTTTCAACCTTCTAATTCATATAGTTGAATAAACTTATTAATTCTATATTAGAGGATAAAATCCCTGTCATGAATGTAGTACTTTTGCCTAAGAGCAATGACTTGTCATTTGATCAGTTGAATGTCTTTATATGAACAAGGAAGTACTAGCTTATTAACTGTAAATTAAATCATGTTAAAAAACATTAATACACTAAATTAAAACATGTTATAATTGAATACACCAAATCAAATTTCATTAAATACAGCATTACTTTTGAGGTTTTTTAGGTTCTCTTGTTTCCTCCTTTTTTCAAACAACTTATCAAGGTATATTTTATGCTACGAGAATCAAACAGAATAAATTCAATTGTTAAGTTGAACCAAATTAATGATAACTTTTTGTAAATTTAAATATATCTAAAAAAAATGTTTATATCTACGGACAAATGTATTAAGTTAGCATTTGAGTATTTGAAGTGGAGGAATGTAGAAAGTATAGTCATTACTAAAATCTCAAATTATGGGTAAAAATACTGAACTGCATTGAAAAAAAAAATGAAATTTTAAAAGGAATCTTTTTCACCATTTTGAAAACAGCATTTTTTTACATAATTAAAAAGGTAACTGTAAGGTGATTGAGTCTACAGCCTAACAGAATATTGATCTCATATTGTGACATGTCTTTAGGCAAAACATGTTACAAACTTTGCATGTCAGTCACTTATTACATGACTTGCATCCATATATAAATTGTGTATTGGGTAAAATATATCATAATTTCTGGAAACAACAAAAAGACACCATATTAAACTAGCAAAGGTAAATCTGTGTTTTTATGTTTAATTATTGAAAGAAATAAAGATAAATAATAATTTTTACTCTTTTCTTTTATTGTGAAATAATGCAATGTTCATTAATTATTTATTTCTTTGAGTTATAAATTCTAGATCCAAGATTTTAATCAAGTTTGAGAAATTTTTATATTCTTGTATTCTGAAAGTTAGTTTTAAGACATATTTGATTAAATATGCATATTTTTTTTTAAATCTATCAATGTGCTGAAATAAGGTAATGGTTTAATTTCGACATGATACCATTACTTTCCAGTAATGGAACCCTAAACTTCATAGAAATAAATCAGTATTCCCTGCAAGGCCTTTTCATATACAGCATCATGGTAAGAAGATGCTATATAAAATGATTTTCTAATGGCGGTGTTGCTATAATTTCTGGAAACAACATGGATATATAAATCAAGTCATATCAATTTCCTTTTGCTTTCAGATAAAATAAAGTATAAGTGACCATGAATATGCTGGAAGATGTAGATATTTAATCCTCATCTTAGATGATCTATAGTTAAGTATTGAAATATAGATTTATGATTACAGAATGTGTTAATAATTAATACAAGTCATTGAAATGTCTCATAAAAATGATCCAAAATTAAATGTTACACTCCCTAAAAACATCCTTAAAATTGTGATTCTTATAATCATAAATATAACATTAGAACTGAAAAGAGGCTGACCAAATTCTTTCTAATATACATTAATTTAGCACTCATATGACAAATAAAATAAGTATAATTTCTAAAAATGATATTTCTATTAAGACCTGTTAACAAAGATTTATGTAAAGTGGGCGACATTTTCCTCAATGGATATTTATTGTTTATTTGTTATATACCTATCCACTATAGATGGTTTTGGGACAGAAAAATGTACCCAAATGGAGACACAGAAGAATATGATTCAAAGATAACCATACCCATAATGCCATTACTAATATTATTCTAATTCATTATAACAAATTCAGCTGTGAACAAACAGGCTGAATAAATGCAAATATTTATTACAGTAAGACAACTGCATTTATAAACATGTAGCTATGTACCTTAAGGCATGTAGAGTAATCTTATAGTTCCTGTGTTAGATATTAGAAAAAAAGGTCAAACTTTCAAAATATTGGCTTTTTCTATCTATATAATGCATGTAAAAATGTTTTAATCAGCTTCAAAGAAACCTGGAAAATCAATTAAAACATGGTTTGTGTACATTTTACTATTATTCCTGATTAATTTCCAATATTATCAATTTACATATAGGGAAATATTAGGGGAGGTCACTCTTGATCTTCTGACCAAATGACCACTACTGTAGAAAAACATTTCATGTCTGTATAACTGTTGTACATTTTCATAGATTTCATTGCTTAACTTTAGGAATAACACTAAATTATTATTTCATTTGGATTTTTTGCTATATCTTAAAGAGAGGGTTTGTTGCATTCAGGCAATTTCATTATTTAGCTAACTTTTGTGTATAGTTTATTTTCAGACAACAGTTACAAGAACCTTGGAAAAGATTTAAAAGGTAAGAAACTATAATTTCCATTTATTAATAAAGCACCTTTTAACTTTTAATAACAAGCATGTAGCTGAATTCCTTTAAATATGAAGAACAGTTTTTTTACAACTTATTCTAGAATTTCTGTATACAGTAATTTAAAAAATAATTTGCTGATCTGGTAATAATAATATTTTTTGGGTCTCAGCATCAAAAGATAAGATGTCAGAAGTTGACTTCCGTAATATTGAATCAAACTGAACTGGCAAGAGCAAATCAACTTACTCATTTGTACTCTGTGATGAATAGAAAGCTTCACTGACTCGACTCAGACTGACAGCTGACATAGACTTGTATCTCTTCAATGTATTTACTGAGGTATTGTCAGGTGCCTGAAAAAAAGTATTTTAATTTGGTAAATTTTTTTTTTGACCTCTCTCATTAAAATGAATATTTATTATACAATCCAACTAAAGTTCCTTACACATTGCTTTATATCATATATATATATGTACTCTATTCTTTTATTTTTTTTGTCAGATCAAGCTGTTTGGCATCCTGCATTCCTGGTACTTAACAACTATTAGCAAAGAATAAAATCATGGAAAAGAATTGCTTAAAATCATATTTATCAATGAGACACAAATTCTGGAAATTGTATCAACAAAAATTAGTATGGGTTTAATATTTTGCAGTAAATGGGGACATACTTACTTTAAGGCTATATTCCTGTTTTATTTGAACACACATTTCTTCATACTTCTGTTCCAAATGAGCACTAAAAGGTCTGAGATCTTCAGGAGCTTTGCGTTTAAATATATTCAATGCCTCCCGTAACAGCACCAACTGATGCCTGGTTGAGTCTTTTAGTTTTCGAACAAGTTTTCTATCTTCACTGCTATCTCCATAATCATCATTATAAAATATCTACAAATCATCAATGAATGAATAAATTAACTTTGTGAAAAAAGCTAGAAACTACATACAAATAATAAACAACAATCTCAGTGGTCTTATTCTTGCTTAGAGTATGGGTGGTAGCAAGCAACTTCAATCCCTAACAAGGTAAAACCAAAGACTTTGTAACTAGAATATACTGCTTCCATGTCAAGTATGCAGCATTTAAGAGCAAACACTGATTGGCTATTAGTCATAATATGCATATAACACTTGCCACTGGACAATAATCATACATCCATCAAATTGAAAAACAAGCTAACCATATCTAAACTGTATTTGAGGATGACCCAAATATTTAACATATGTGTTTTACAATATAATAAAAAGGGTATTGTGTATAATATCCTCTAAAATTAGCATCTTGTTCAAGCAAAGTGTAGGCCTTGGTTATCAAAATGTTGAGTAATGGTTTTGTATTTTATGAAAGAGTTGTTGTTGTCAAATATCACTGAAATACCACCATGGGTTTTTTTAAAAACAAAAATATATATAATTGACTATAAAAGTGAAAAATAAAGGTCAATGTTATCAAAATTTTACTGACATAAGATTTAGCATCTACGATGTTCTGAGGAATGCATTTAACAGGAATAAGATAACTTAAGTTGAAAAGTGCTAAATTGAGTTAGAAGTTATTACAAAGTTACAAAGGACCCAAAATCAGTCCCTGTTTACTCTGTCATTTAAATGTTTGCAACATGAACTGTCCCATTAAATAAATACAATTGCTATTGTTCTCTGTAGAGTTCATTAAATGGGAACTTTTAATTTCTCCAGGAAAAACCAATCAATCATTCTTCTCATATTTTTTTGCCAGTTTTATTTTTCAGTACTCACCAAATACAATTTAAATTTTCTTCTGTTATTGACTTAATTTTGTAATTGTATATCTTTTACTCTCACTATATGTGTCATTATTCAGTATTGGTACATGTATTTTCATCACAAGGAATTTATTTTTTTGTACAGCCAAATAATCAATGAATTTTTGGTCTTTTAAGGAGAAATTTTAAATTCCCATTGATCGAACTCAACAGAGAACAAAGGCTATTATATTTATTCAATGGAACAGTAAACTTCACAAAAATTTAAATGGCCAGGTAAACTCCAACTGATTCTGGGGAATGGTTTTATTTCCTTCGCAATAAGTTTTTCAAAGATTTGTCCACTGATTAAGTTATTTATAGTGCTTATTTTGATTTACCAGTAAATAAATATATAACCTATCGAGATTAAGTGATTGAACTTCAGGGCCAATACTGATACTGAATTATTTCATACTGTGCAAATGAAATATGATATTGAAATATATCATATATATATACATTGTTCTTAGTTTGTGTACTTACTTTATAATTTGAGATTCCTCCATTGACAGAAGCATCTATAACACCTTGTAACAGCATACTAAGGTTTTGTACATTAGCTGTGGGCTCTGATATATGATGTTCTACTTCTTTGTTGATTTTCTTGTTAGTGGTATCCAGGGTGTCAAATGCATTCTCTAATGGACTCACTTGATACTGGAAATCAAGAAAAAAAAAATTATCAACCATGACATTTGTGATGAACAAAAGAACTGTGCATACATTTACCAAAAATACATTTGTCTGCTTGAGGGGTATGTGTACTTTCACTAGTTTCCACCAAAGATCTCATCTACTGTGGATTCATTACTATTTGTGGAATACCAATTTTGAGGATTTCTTGGTCAAAGGTTAACCACGAATTTATATGTTCAATGTAGTAGAAATTCTCTATAGGTTGATATGCAGACTTTGCCAAAACCACAAATTAAATCTACACAATAATACAATTTATTACCAATCAACTAAAATTTGTACCCAAGAAAATATATGAATCCACAGTAATTACAACATATGTTATAATAAAAATGATCTGGTGAATTTTCCCAGTAGACTTACTGTTGTGACATGTATAACAGGAAACCAACATAAAATGCCAGGAAATTCATATGTTGTTGTTAAAAAGGTTCTCTCTAACCACAAACTCTGAAATATATATATGATAATTCATTCATAAATACCATTACTCAAAAATTATTGTGTGCATTTATTATTGCGATTTTTTAAGAAAGGACAAAAATATGAAATAAATATATATCAGATATCAAAATGGGAGTTCTGATTATTGTGATTATCATTCAAACGTATTATTCACATAAATAAAAACATGAAAATAATTTCTGAACAGTAAACATAACATAAACTATCACAATGGTGCATTAATGAAAAAAGAAATTGAAAATCATAAACATGTTAAAAAATCTGATTTAAACTGGCTGGTAGCCTATCACAGATTTATGAGTTGACAAATAAAACTGATGAACACAACATTATACTGATAATATCCAAAAGTGATGCACATGAATAGAGGTCTAAAAGTACTTACCGTTACATCACCGCCAGAATCCTCCATCTTTCTAGAGAATTGGAATTTACTGACTTCATTTTTCGTAAAATATCTATAAAAGATAAATATTCTCGATTCATGAAATTTTTATCTAAATGGCCAAACAGCTCATTCTATTAACCCAACCTTTACAACATTTAATAAAAGCTAGGCAAATCATTCCATACTAAATGTGACTCATAGCTTACCAAAATCTTTCAGGTCAAATTTAGTAAACTAATTGAAAAAGACCCTGAATACTTAAAAAAAATGATATTCTTATGAACTAACAAATGAATATCGATTACAATCTATTATCATTTAATGCCCTATGAACTGTATGAAAAAAAAAACCTCATCAAAGATACCAGGCTTATAATTTTGTACGCCAGACAAGTGTTTCGTCTACAAAAGACTCATAAGTGATGCTAGAATCAAAAAAGTTAAAGGCAAAATAAAATACAAAGAGCTTATCACTAAATTCAATAAGTGAAATTCCCCAAATCTTCCATAACGAGCAAGTACAGGCTCGTAAATAAAATAAGACAAATCAACTTTTATTAAGTATTAGAACTTACTGTTGAATTCTTTCACTAACATGCTTCTCGCCAAATCTCACATGGAGATCGAAAACTGGTGAGACAGAATTAATCTGCAGGTCTACAGAGTTGTTAAGGTCTATATGAAACATAACTCTCAAGAAATATATATAACTCATATAAAAACTTCCAATTAATAGTAAATATTCAGGATGAGTGTCAATCAAATCATTTCATATGAAAAAAATGATATATTACACTCAAAATTAAACAAGCAAATAACTGTATTCCAAAATTGATGAAAGAAGCAAAAAAAGGGTAAAAGGGTTCATGAACTTGTTTTCACAAAGGTTATCAAACTCCTCTGTATAATATGTTAATTTATATCACTTCTTATTGCGAAAGAAATGATACGTTTCCACAGATTCACTTGAAGGTTACCTGTCCATTTAAACTTGTGTAAGTTCTTTTGTCCCATCTAATAAATACAATAGATGTTATTCTCTGGAGTTTATTCACAGGGACCTTTAAATTTCTTATAAGAGAAATCCATCACTCATGGTGGATTTTTCTTTGAAGAAATTTAAAGGTCCCAGTGAATAAACTACACAGAGAACAATAGCTATTGTATTTATTCGATGGGTCAAGCGAACTGACAAAAGTTTAAATACCTTGACCAAGAGGAGATGACTCTTTTTTAAAAATTTTTAGTGGTTCGCAATAACTATGAAAATAATCAATAACACTTTGTATTTTTTTCTTCTATTCAAATTGTTAACAGACAAGAAGTTATCAGTTGTAACTTTTTTAACATCATCCTTTTTGATTGATTGATTGATGTTTGCTTTATGTCCAGTGGCAAATATATCATGCATGTTCATCATGTATTTTGCATTTGGCATCTAGCTTCCCTTCAAGAACCATATGATAAATGATATCAAAGATAAAAATATGTTTACTACTACAAATTAAATGCATGTTACATGTGTGTATGTGTATTGGAACTACATATAAGAATGAACTTTCTCCCTTTTCCCAAACACAATATAATGAAGGATACATTCTTTATCAGATTCCTTCAATTCTTCTGATGGAGGCTGCAATGATCTCATCAACTGAAATACATAATACAACATATATTTTGTTGCTGAAAGATATGTAGGGGATACAGCTTGTTCCTTGAATAAATTGTCAAGCATGCGATCCTCCAACCTTCATGGGATCCCCTACCTGAAATGATCCTGGAAAAATTTTCTATATTTCTATTGACAATTACTCAAAACTTCAAGTTGTAAAACTCCAGCTGAAGATTTATAGATCTGGAATTGGCTCAAGAGTTTATCGTATGCACTAATTGGAAATGATTTTTTTGGTAATAAATAGACTGAATATCAATAAATACATATGAATGAATAACTTATAACACTTATTTTAGAAAATTTCCTGTTGAAAAACTCCAGCTGAAAATTTATAGTTCTGGAATTATTGGCTTAGGAGTCTGTCATATGTATAAGATGTAAAATCATTTTTTCTGATTTCAAGACTGAATAACTCATGCTTGTGACAAGCCTTACACTTATATTAGCCATAATAAGTTAGGTAAGCTGCTATGTAGTAAAAATCAAACTTTGCAAATTGGCTGATATTAAAAGGCTTAATGTTACAAAATTACAATATTTTATTAGAAAATGAAATACTTATGATTTAAAATATGATCATTTTAATAAGCTAGAATAGATAATAGGCCTGATAACAGCATAGTTATGATAACTGATATAATAAAGAGCTGTGCCTTGAGCGCATGATACGCCTGTCGCCTTTTCAACAAAAAACTCCTCAATGTCATATCAGAAATTTATAAAAAAATAAAAGGAGCTTATTTTAATAGATATAAACCAGTCACCAAAGTTTCATGAAAATTGGTTTTCATGAAAATTGGTTAAAGTGTTTTCGAGGTATTGTCCGAGCAATGGAAAATCCCCCCTTTTTTTATAAATAAAATCCAATAACTAGAAAACATAAAATCTAAACAATTCACCAGTTTCATGAAAATTAGTTAAAGTGTTTTCGAGTTATTGTACGACATGTTGACGAAAGATGGACGGACGACCATAATACATCCTGTAAAAGGGCCTATAAAAATGAAGTCAAAATGAGATTGTCTGGCATTTTATGACAGTTTTTGTTAGATTTCCATGATCGTCATAGTTATAGTTTGTTGTTATTACCCACAGCTGTGTACTTATAATAGAAAATTGTAGGTTGATGGACATCATGCAAAAACATCTTCTCATACCAGTGCTAGGGGCCATTTTGAACTCGCAGTAAGGACTGGTCTTCTGTTTTTTGTAAAAAACCTTACAATGACTTTGAGATGAAGAACAGCAATATAAGCCCTTTTCCTATGCCTTTGGTTTGTCAGGAGAGTGTGTAGTGTTTACGTGTCATAAATCATAACTTTTCAATTCAATACATAGTTCAATTCATTGATGGTTTCACCATATCTTTTTTTTCTTTTAAACCACATTATGCATAAGAAAATTTAAGCTTAAAAGGAATGTCTGCAAAATTCAATAAAGTAAGTCTACTAAAAATAATATAATATGTGAATTCATTATACAATAAATATTTACTTCAGCATTTGGGAATAATGTCTGCATCCTGGCATTAAAATCTGGTAACCTCTCATAATCTTTACCTCTGTATATAAATACTTTGTTCTGAAATAAAATAAACAACAATCAATATGACAGAAATAAAGGCATATGATTATAATACTTACTACAATATAGCAACTCCCAGTGTATCTGCTTAAATGCAATAATGACATGGATGGAACAGTTCATATTTTTTTTGAAATAAAGATTAGGAAACAATACACAGACAACTATTTAAAGTAAAATACAAAGATGTGGTATGATTGCTAATGAGACTTAAACTCTTTCAATCAAACAAAAATAATCTTTGATTGATTGATTGTTGGTTGCTTAATGTCCAGTGGAAAGTATTTCATGCATGTTCAGGACGAAAAACAATTTTTCAAAATAAGAATAAATATGTGATTTTGTTATTATCTGATACATCTTTCTTACTTGCAAATATGAAGGAAAACCTCTGCCAAAATATCCAACTCTGAAATATTCAGGGTCTGGTCTGAGTTTTGATATGATATGACTGTACAAGTCTGCTTGTCGTCTCTGCAAAATATAAAATAATAGCAGTGTTATGTTTGATTCAACAAATGACATAAATGACATAAAATTAAAGATTTATTAAAGAACTGAAACAATACAAATCAAAGTGCTTAAGTACATATTTAAGTATAGTATAGTTATACACCTACACATCCTTTTGTTATTTGATTTGATTTGATTTGATTTTTGGTGTTTAACGCCACTTTTAAGCACTGCTTTTAGGCTATTTCGTGGCGGCCAGTTTTTATTGGTGGAGGAAGCCGGAGTACCCGGAGAAAACCACCGACCTTCGATAGGAAAACTGACAATCCTAGTCAATTAAGATTGGAGTCGAGTGCACCCGCACGAGCGGGGTTCGAACTCACAACCTCAGTGTTGACTGGCTAGTGATTACAGTAGTAACTACTTAGACCACTCGGCCACCGAGGCCCCTTTGTTATTTGAATATCTGCGTATATATTATAATAAATTCCTTGATATGGAAATAGATATGATCTAAAGAATGTTTAACTCACAGCACTTTGCACTTTTTTTCTTCAATGTAAAGGTAGAGCTACCAAGTCAGTGACACTAGTGTTTTGATTGCATGAAACTTCAAAAAAATCTTAAGATATGTTACTTTTAACTCTACTCTAATTGATTTTAAATTAACAATGCCTGAAGCAATTGCATATTAAAGGCTATTGTACAAACAAAAAGCATTCCGTTATTCCCTCTTCCTCGCTTTTTTCACAAAAATCTACCAGCAATTAGCTATAAAGCTGTTTTTTGTTGTTTTTCTTGTGACATTTGGTTATCATTAAATTAATTTTGATAAAATTGCCAAAGTCATTTGTTGACTTACAAATTTTTCAAGAAACAAATTACTCATGGATCTATTTAGTTATGATCATTATTTTCATCAAAGGAGATATACTGAACATGTCTTATAATTGAGACAATATATTTCAACTTACAAGTATTACACTCAGACGTTCATAATCAAACAATTCTTGTTCATATAACTGGGCTAATTCTTTACACAGTTGAATACCCTTTTCCCACATCTGTAAAGAAAAAAAAGTATACAACAGTCTCTGTAAAATATAAATGAAGTGATGTGTCCTTAACAAACAAAAGTAAAATTGGCATGACAACTAATTTAAATAGGTGAACCCACTATATCTAAATCCTGGTATAATTGCTGTAAATTCGCAATGTTTTTATCATTGCGACAAGATAAGTGTCGCAGAAATAAAAACTAACACTAAAATTTTGATAGTATTATTCGTATGCAGCATTACCTGAAATCGTAATAAATAAACTTGCATTTGTACCTATCATCAAACAATTGCAATAATTAATACATGCAATAATGAATGAATTTACAGAATGAAGAAGCCCTATGTGTGGAATTTATTTAGCTTTCTGCACTACAACAACCGAAAAAGCAACAAAAAATTAAAATACTAAACTGTTGATATAAATTGTTTTATAGTTTAATTTTTTTTAATTTCATACAAAAAAGTTCTGATATAAAAAACCTGAAGGTAGAAAAGCTTTCAAGCTTGGTTGATCAATAAATGGAAATGAGAAAAACTTACTTTTCCCTTGTCAAAGTATCCTACAATATCATAGTATAACATTTCTTTGAGTTGTCTCTGTGTCTGTGCCTCTAGATGCCAATTACATTGCAACATGGGTGGTAAGGGTTCATCTGACCACTTAAAAAGTAATATTTAAGTTTCTACATTTATGTCAATTTCTCAAATTCAATTCAAATTTTTTATAATATGATTTTTTTTTGTAGATATTGTATTGCTTTTGAAGTTTCTGTCTTATCTATTATAGTTTTAAGATGACAGGAGGAAATTGGTCAAAAATAGTCATTTAAAAGCAATAACTCCTGTAGAGTCATCTGATAGTTTGGATACAAATGGGGAAAAAAGACGTAGATCTTGACATTCTGAACAATATTTGACTTGTCAGATTTTCTCTTTCTTTTATTGTTTTCAAGATATTAAACAATTACTTGCATTTTACCCCTATGATCTATTTTTAGCAATAGCTGCAATGTTAGTTGATGGACCATAGTATAATTCCAAAACTATAATCATCAAACCATAAGGATCAATCATGTGAAGTTTGGTTTAAATTGGTTCAATGGTTTCAAAGGAGAAGATTCGTTTAAATTGTTATGAAGTACGACAGACACTGGACACCAAGTGTTGGCCCTTTGTCAAATGAGCTAAAAAGAATGCACAAGAGTTTTTATAGGTCACTTTTAAAAACATGTAACTTAAGGTCCAAACTCTTTGGACCATTTAAAAAAAAAAAAATGACAGAAATTTTTCCTGCTAGCCATTGATTGTTTAAAATACAAGTTGTTTCCTCAAATAAAAATATTTAGCTGTTGATTTTTCTCATTTCAAGCTTCCAAACAAAATCATGGTATCTAATCAGGCAAAAAAAAACCCAATAGTTTCTAAATCTCCAAATATGGTTAGTAGTTAAGTGGAAATCTCAAATTGATGTTGATAGAGTACAAAAATACTAACCACTACATGTCGCTGACTAAGAAGTCACTACCGGTACTTAAAATTAAACAATAAATCATTATGAAGGTCAAGTCATACTTACTTGGAGTAAATTAACATGTAACATTATAGTATAAGCTGCCTCTGTATAGTTTTCACATTCAAGGTGAAGATCACAAAGTTTATATAGATATCTTATGTACATTTCCTGTCTTTCAATATCGTGGTAAAAATTCTGTAAAAAAGAATAAATAGACAAATGCTCAACTTGAAGTTATATTTTTAAACAAAATGAACAGATACAAATACTGTAATCAGACAAAATAAATTGATTGATTGATGTTTAACGCCACTTTCAGCACTATTATGCTATTTTGTGGCGGTGAGTTTTGATGAATAAACCAAAAGAAAAAATGATCATAATGATAGAACAAATGCTGCAGTATTGGTACTTGCAGCTATCAAATGTAAATGAAAATATATATTCCTTTATCAATAGCACCTTCTGATACTATTTTACACAAATCCTTGAAGGTTTCTCAATGCCCCCAAAGAAGCTACCCCCATTTGTGCATTATGCTATGACAATGACATAAAAAAAAAACTTTCAACAAGGGCATTTCGCAAATAATGGAAGAAATAAATGGATAACAATTTTTCAAAATACAAAAGACTTCAGGATTTTTTTAATTTTCTTCAATCCTTTACAAATATTGATTTAAACCTAACTTCTTAGGTATCAACCATTCATGCCTGGAACAATCATTAAATTAAGATAGATTTTCCATTATAAATAAAATAAATATTTAAAGATTTTTGAAACACTTACCAGCAGATTAACAATACAACTCATTCGATGTTCTTTAATCTCGTTCTGTATAATCTTCCTATATTCTAAAAGTCTTTGTAGTAACTCTTTGATTGTATTCACAAAATTGACTCCTGATTCCATCATTGCTGAATGACCTTTACATAACTGGGATAATCTGGGTAAAAAAACAGCAATAAAGAACTTAAGTTTGTACATTAAGATGCAATGAAACCAAAAAATGATTACTTTTCCTATTGTTTCACAAATGATTTTATTTATAATAATTTTGTGATTTTGGTAACTTTTGACCCAATTATTACAGAATGAACTTATCAAAATTGATTGATGGGTTGAATGGTGTTAGATGCCACTTTCAGCACTATTGGCTATTTCTTGGCAGTCAGATTTTATTGGTGGAGGTAGCCAGTGTTCCTGCAGAGAACCATCAATCATTGACAGGAAAACTGACAATCTTTGTCAATTAAGATTGGAGTCAGGCACATGGGGGGTTTGAACTCATAACCTTATTGTTGACAGGCTAGTGATACAGTAATTGAACTACTTGGACAACTCAGCCACTATCAAAATTGAAGCAAGTGACTAAATCACAAAAAAAAATTTCTTTCCAAATTGTATAAAATATGTGTATCAATACTTGACATGTATCACATTGACAGTTAAATTATTTGTTTGTTTCTTATTCATTTTCTTTGATTTTCAATCTTTACTTTGACTCTTTTGAGTAACCTCATTTGAAAGCGAAAGTGTACCCACAGAAGTTTATGAAAGCAAATTATTTAGATTTGTTTTTTTAATAAGACAGATATAATAAGTATTTACATGACATATATCATTTCTTTATATTCTTCATCACCACATCCTCCTTCTACTAAAGCATCCAGTTTCATAATTAACTCATTCTCCACCTGTTTAAATATAAGCATTAAATGTTATTGGGAATATACAATTCTAATCAATGGTCTACAGTCCATTTGATCTTTATTACCTGTATTTAAACAAGATTAAATGCATGCAAATGCAACAAGAACATGCACACAAGTGTAATGATTTCTGCACTCAAACTGAATGTACCACATTGTCTAATATCCCTTGCTCAATTATCAAACCAAATTGCATGGTTTACTAAATTATTTCTATTCAATATCATATCAATCTATAGTTTAAAGGTGTATCTTTTCAGAAGAGCTTGTTAACTAATACAGTTTAATTTTCTATAAAAGTGATTATTCTTTTAAATAGTTATCATTTGTATTTCAGGAAATTACTGGAATCACTTACAACATAACAAAGAAGAGATTTTTGTATCTGTGTTTTACAGTGACAAATATTTCAAGCTGTAATGAGTGTATTTCTTATCCTTTCACATAAAAATACCTGAGAAAAGTTTCCTTTGATTTTTCCAGTTATAGAATCTATCTCATTGAATTCAAAGGACATCATGTCAAAGAATATTGGTATTGTGGCCTTTCTTAATTCTGTAATATAAAATAGATCTATACAAAGTGTCCTGACTTTTTCTCTGTAAATTAAAAGACATATTTTAACATATATAGCAAACTTTCAAAGTTAAATACAACTTCAGATATAAAACTTTGACAATGAATATTCAAAAGAATAGTGAAACATAAATCAAAATTTATGGAATATTAAAATGCAAAACAATGCCAAGCTAAGGTTGACAATGTTTTTTCGAGGGGTAACAATCTGCTCTCTACCAACCTTTTAGATATGAGTTATTCAATCTATTATACAGAATGTTGGGTTAATAATGTAATAATGTCTTTTAAATTTTAAATCAAAAGTAATAAACTAAACTTCTTGTATATAACAACCATTCGGTAAGAATTAAACAACTGATCAAGTGTTTCCTTGAAGGGAAATTGATTATAAGCCATGTGATAGAGTAAATTATCATCCTTGAATAAACCAATCAAAATCTGACATTTTGACATGAAGTATGATATAAAAAATGGTATCATGGTCTTTGGTAAATAGAAAAGATAATGATAACAGAAACAATAAACAGATTACTTACCTTGCTCTGGAATTAATGTCATTTCAAGTATAGGTCCTACCAAACCAGGTATAAAATATTGTTTATTTTGTCCTAAAAATATAATAAGTTTGTCAGTAATTATAAATAAAGGGAGATATTGGGTAAACAGTAATGAGGCAGTAACCATGAAACAAAAGTTCAACAAAACTGACATCTAGAGGTTACTATTCAGCCTTCATCAGTGAATAAGTTCCATTGCCCATAAATCCATCAGAAGCATACACAATATCTAACGCCAAAACTTTATTCATGATTGACAGAAAAATAGACAAATACATTACTACAGAACTTCTGACTATAAAATGAATAATATTTCTTATCAAGCTAAAAACCTTCAAAGCTAATAGTATCATGATTCAACTGAGAGGAAAAAAAATCTAGGAAGCAAAACATAATACACTCAAACAAAATACATATTGAATAGAATTTTGTTATTTTTTATTTGTTTCTCAGAATTTCAATGTTCTGTGTATTTGTTTGACCTGTAGACGACTTCTTAGTATATAATGCTTTACAAAACTTACCTAAATGAAACCACATATGTCTAATTTCAAACCCAGCCTCTCTTCTCATATCCTTGTATCTATAAAAAAACAGAAGGAGAAAAAATCAGAAAAAACTGTTTGCCATTTAAAATACAGTATAAAACAGAAGGGACTGTCATCAAATAATTCAGTTATTGTGGATTCATTAGTATAAGTGGGGTTCTAATTTTCATGGATTTCGAGGGGCATCCATTGGTGATTGACTTACTTATTTCAGAAGTGAACAAATTACTGGTTCTTCCTAAAGACTCGTATGTAGAATTGTCAAAACTAAGCAATCAAGTATTCATGAATAGTGTTTTTTTTTTAAATTGCTCCCACAGTACATGATTTTTGAAGATAAAGAAAATATCAAGAGGTACAAGCTTAGGTGTAGATGGCCAAAAACTGGTTGTCAAAAAATTTTTTATTCTGTTTTTCATTTTATAAGGTTGATTTCCCACTGATTTTGCTTGTCAAGTTCAAATTTTAAGGAGTTTTAAAATTTGAAAGCCAAGTCACCCCCTTTTTAAAAAATCATGTTAATGGGGTCACTTATAAGTGTAAATTGAAAAAACTGTGATCATTTGCATAGATTCAAACAAAATTATGTTTTACTCTTTTCCAGGATTGAACTTACCGTGATATAATTTTTGTTCTTTTAGATGGTGTAAATTGTTCTAACTGTAACGCTCTCTGTGTGAGGAATGATATTGCACAATGGAAGAAACAGCTCCATAACTGAAAGAAAATATATATATATATAGTGAGTTTATACACATTATTTAAAATACTGTATTTGGAAAAAATTGTGGAGAACAAAACTATCTACACTCCCTGTCAGAAATCATTATATGCATAAAGATTATTATATGGCATTTTCAATATCACACTATCATTTGTTTGAGAATATAGCCAAGTGTACTTAATATGGCTTTATCAATATCACACGCTGTATCAACCTTCAACCAATACATTCTGTTGAGCAGAGCTCTGAGTATTGTATCAATTGATACAGGGTGATTTTGAAAAAGCCATGTAACATTTTTCTGTTTATGATGTACTTAAAACAGATGATTTTTTGGGGGGTTTTGATAAATACTATACAACAGTGACTGATATTATCAAGAAAACTTTATTCTCTAAACTTTTTGTTTGAAGACAATACAATTTTCTTTCAGCTTTGACAATATAAAAATTTAAACCTTTCCAAGGCATTTATAAAAACTGGTTCATCCAGATGGGTAAAACCAACAAATTTGACAGAATTATATTTTAAAAGATGAAATTTCCAATAGGATTTAACATATTGAAGCTTACTTTTATATACAAGCATGCCATTTTATTGTTTATTAATTGACCTGGTAAAATTGACGTACCTGTTCCTCAAAATCTGTAGAAAACTTTTCATAAATTGTGTGAGCAAAAAATCTTAAGGCACGTAGTATTATGCTGCAAAAAAGAAAATATTTTATGTTGTTATTACAATAAAAATTTCTGTTGACACATGTGTATCCACTCCATATATATTTTTTTTTAATTTCTGTTTTAACAGTCATCAGAATGATATAACTTCCATTGATGGAACAAATCGATAATAACTGTCATATTCTAGTATAACAGTACAAATTCTTTCTAGGCAAAGTGGTGATTTGGTACACTCAAACTTTCTACTTATATGATTTATTAATGATTTCTTAAACAGTTATACATGTCTTAAAAGAAGCCCTTAATAAAGACTGAAGAACATGTGATGATTAGATATGTGTTTAAATTTATATTGGTTCAAATTAGAACGCAAGCATATCCCTAATTGTAATTCAAAGTAAAGAAAACAGGAAGAAGGTGTCTGGCAGATCCCAAAGCACTCACATGTTTCAACTCATGTCAAGCTGCTGACCAAATATGTTGTAATTCTGTTCAATAGTATCTGATAAAAGTGTGACAGGAATATATGTTGGATGAAAGGATGAACAGATGGATTGACAAGGTAAATGAGATTAAGCCCCTACTCCTAGAGTGAAGGTATAGTAATAATATAATAAATGGATGTTAATATAAAGGGAATTTTGATCTTGTCTGGTGTAGACAGATTTTCATTTTAGTTAGGGTTCTGTTTAAACAGGTTTCACTGTAGTAGAAACTAAACAAAGTACAATGCAAGTGTCATTAACTGTGGATTCTTTTACTTTTGTGAGTTCCAATGTTTGTGGATTGAGAAAAAATTGTCTTCTCATGGCTATCTGATTTCATGCTTTTACCAAAGTCTGCATACAAACCTATAGAAAATTTAAACTTGGTTGAACTTTTAAATTTGTGGTTCGACTATACCTACGAAATCCACCAAAATTGGTATTTCACGAATAATAATGAATCCACAGTATCCTTATTGTGCATAATAAAAGATCAAATAATACTACATGTTACTTTTACTTTAAACCCCAACAAAGAACTGATGTTTCCCAAACAAAGAACATGTTTCCCCAAAAAAGAACTGGTGTTTCCCAAACAAAGAACTGGTGTTGTCCAACATAGAACTAGTGTTCCCTAAAAAAAAACTGATGTTACCCAACAAAGAACTAATGTTACCCAATAAAGAACTGATGTTACTTCAACATACCTATTCTGTAACATGATCATCTCTACCCAATCTGAAGGAAATACTGTATTTTCCACTAAAACTCGGAATAATATTAATATTTCCATTAGGAAATCACGTAAGTCTATTGTGTAAGAAAACTCCTCCACATACATTTTATAATGTCTATCTGTCATTTGTCTTAAAACACTTAATAACACAGCAACACAACTTGTCTGAAAAAGAAATGTCTCCTGCCATGATTTCTTAAAGTGGTAAATAATATTATAAACATCAAACCGACTACAGTATTACAACTAAAAACCTTTACAGGTGTACAGCAGATAGATGTTATTAAGCTATTATACTTTTGCTTTCATTTTAATGACAGTGCTATTAAATGGATTAATGGCTACAGTTGCCTCAATAAAACATGTTAATTGATATTAAATAAAGCTATTCAGATGTGCCTGTTAATTCTAAAAGCTCAGAGCATCCTCTCAGAATGCTTGGTACATGTTCAAACGAATAAATTAATATACCAAACAAAAAAAGATTTTTTTTTATAGGTTTTTAATTTTCTTTTCTCACAAATTATTGTGAATGTTCATTCCAAGCTGAGTTTCAGATTAGCAATTTCAACTTTTCTTTCATTTTGTTCACATCAGTAAGATTTGTTCATCTGGCTTTCAAGGTTTTGACTTTCAGCTTATCTGGTTGGATTGAATACAACAACTATTGCATTAAATCAACTTCATTTCTTGAAAATATGATTTAAGATTAAGATACTGTATTCTAACAAAAAAAAAATCATCTTTTTAGTTTAAAGGGGCATATTTCAGGACAGTCTATATTATAAAACATATCTAACAGACTGTTGGATAAATGTGTAGATACATCTTACTCAACTTGAAGCATACTTGCATTTATATGAAGACATCTTGTTAGCACTTGTAATGCAAACACAAATTAATGTAATATAACATGCCTTGAATATATCGATCTATTTACAAATCTCCTTTTACAATGATTTTACGGATTATGGATGCAGTAAATAAGCTGCATGTAGAATGTGTAATTTAAATGCATGAGGTGATATGTATGTTCTCTCCTATGAAAGATAACAGTAAATACACAGAGAAATATATGTTTAAATGAAACAGTAGAAAAGAGTGTTTTTTTTCGAAAATCCTTGTCTACTAAAACAATACAATGAGAAATGCAGATATATTTTCAATAAATATACAAAGATTCTAAATTATTCTTTTGTGTCTGAAAATGATATCAGAAACTGATATTAGAAATAAAGTGCTTCAGAGATTTACATGAACAGACAGTACTACACGTAGAATGAATGGAGAGACATGCACTGTTAACTGCTAATGGTGTTGACTACATGAAACAGCTATGGCCGTGTATAATAAATATTGAGCTTCTCAGGTCAAATTATTTTTAGATGAGGAAGCCTAAAACTAATTTCCATTTTGTTTAGAAGAATTCTATTTTTTTCAAACTATACTGAATACAGCAAGGACTAATTCCCATCTTTTGGACTTATGAGGTAGTTGCCTGAGAAACTAAATATTTATTCAACTTGGCATGATGTGATATGGAATACATGTATTACCCTGCAATATAACACAGCTGATGACTAAAATGAAATGATTTCAACAGTCAATAGGATTCAATACACACTCCATTTACCTTTTTGTTAGTTTAAATTGATTTTAACTTTATATAAATGTTAGGGAAATAACATTAATAATTCTGACTCATTTTATGTGAATGCAAAAATTAGCTTTTTCTAATTTTTTTTAAATGGACCATAGATTCTTAATATTTGTTATAGAATTTGGTAGAAGACTTCTTTTGAAGAGTCTGTTTTCCTTTTCATACATCATAATTGGACTTACAAAAATTTACTGTTCTAATTACAAAAATATTGCTTATCAGCCTAAAATTTAGGAACAAAAATTCCTTTAAATAATTGGCAATATTAAAAAACCAATTAATGCTATCATTTTTCTTTTCTCACCACTGGCAATATGGTAGTTAGATATGAAAATGGCACAGAATGTCGCATTTTAAAATTTTCCTCTTTTTATACAAACTTACTGCTACTTTGGATTTTCTCTCCAAAATTATGGCTGCCTGGATGATAGTTCTTAAGTTCATTCTGATAATTTCTTCTATGTCCTCCTCATGAGAACCCTGAAATATAACAAATATATTTTATTTGTGCTTAACATTTAGATGAAATATGTGTAGTCATTAAACTGCCGGTGAATATTTGACAGATCTGAAATGTATAACAGTATAGCTAAGTATAACAGTATAGCTGAACTAGATGAAGTTTGAAACAAAATGTTAAGAAGTTACCATTGGTAGTTGCTGAGGAAAATGCATCCAAAAAAAAAAAAAAAAATACAGAAAGAAAGACACTCACACATGGGTTGATAAACAATGGTAAACCAGTATTGACTTCACTTTGGATAAAAAATTGTTTCCTTCATATTCTCAAAATATTTGTGCTGAACAATAGAAACAGGAGAAAGTTTTGATAGCAACTTTTGTTTAAGGATGTTGTTAGCTACATTTGTTTTTGACTTTTTGTCAAATATTCGCAATCCACTAGTTTTATCCAAGGAGTGCCAATAAAAATTTTGCCGGATAACCCCTACTTTTCATTTCATATTTTTACTTACATATAGTTTAAAAAGCCATTTTTGAAAATTTTATAAAATCCTTTTTATTTTTTTATACTTTTTGAAAGAAAAAGGTTCCAATGTTAAATGTATGAAAAATCTTGAGAGAATCATTTCCCGCCAAATTTTCAATTGATTATAGACACAGACCTTTCATTTTTTTCATTTTTTTAAAGTTTTCTTATTTATAAACTATCAATTTATAACAGTCATTTATTATAAAAAGCTTCTTATTTTGAAACAGAGGAGTGAACATCCCTAAGTCCAAGCTTGGTAACTTCCTGTCAATAGCTTTTATTTTTCATTTCACCAAGATATCAATACACTTAAGTGGGTTTCTTTCAGTCAATACACCAATTATATAGCTTTCATCTTAAATTTTTATAGTTTAGTCAGTTTTTTGCATGGTGTCTTTAGTACAAATAAAATTTTGAATGGATGAATACAAATATAATTGTTAACAAATGAAACTTACAAAATCTTTACTATACATGACATCCATGATATCACTAAGTACCAATATACAGTCTTCTAATTCCTCCTTCTTTTCTTCCATCAGTGACTTGGTGTGAGAGAGGATCATAGAAAGTAGAATTCTACGACATTCTGCAAATAATTAGTATTATAAATCAGAAATATCAGAACCTTTATTGATCATATATAATAACAAAGAAACTGATATAAATAAATAAGAGAAAAACTAAAGGCAATATTGTGAGGATAATCTATGATATCAAGTTCAAAAGTAATAAAAATTTCTCTTATGGTCTGTTGTCATATTAAAAATTTGATGGTAAGGCATACCATTTGTTTACCGGGAAAGAAATTTATGTGTTTGTTTTCTTTTTCTCCCTAAGAATAAAAGAGGCTTCTGTAAAGTTCACAATGGAAGTCTCTTGCTCCAGTAAGGAGAAACAATCCATCTACAGTTCAAATGTTTGTCTCCTAAAAGACCTAAGAATAAAAGAGGCTTCTGTAAAGTTCACAATGGAAGTCTCTTGCTCCAGTAAGGAGAAACAATGGATCTACATTTCAAATGTATGTCTCCTAAAAGACCTATGAGCATGACAGTTTTGGTAATACTACTAGCATCAGGTATATAATGATCTCTGATAAAACAGTCATACTGACCTGGAAATTTAAATAAATCACTATGTACAAGGTCATCTATACACTTCAACTTCTGTTTTGTTAATCTTTCTTTTGGCACATTGTTTATAAACTCAACCATTAAACGACTGGAAACGAAAGAAAATAGAGGTATAAATGCATAAGGAATACATAATTTTGAAAGAGGAGAAGAATTTCAATCAAAAGATATTTAACACATCTTGGCAATTCTTCAAATCCTTTCTGAGTAATTGAAAATGCATATTTGCAGTTTTGATTTATTCAACTAAAATCCTGTTACCCAAAGGAACTTTAAATAAATCAAATATAAACAGCAGTAACATCCTTTTCTAGATTCCGATATTTCAGTTTTACATGGGAAACTCTACACAAAAAAATACTACAAAAGGGTAGATTTTTCGTATCATATTGCTAATTTTCCTGTTTCGGACATTGATGTTCCTTAAGACCCATCTTACAGCGTTTATATATCCCAACTTGTTCGCTTTGCCTGTGTCTGTAGTCATGTTTTGAGTATCTCTAAACCTTTTTTTGATCAGAATTCTCATGTTGAAATGCATATTGCAAACAAACAAAGGACAATAGCTAACAGAAAACTAGAGGCTCTAAAGAGCCTGTGTCGCTCACCTTGGTCTATGTGCATATTAAACAAAGGACACAGATGGATTCATGACAAAATTGTGTTTTGGTGATGGTGATGTGTTTGTAGATCTTACTTTACTGAACATTCTTGCTCCTTACTACTATCTCTATCTATAATGAACTTGGCCCGGTAATTACAGTGGAAAATACTTTGTAAAAATTTACAAAAAATTACAAAATTTATGAAAATTGTAAAAAATTGACTATAAAGGGCAATAACTCCTTAAGGGGTCAATTGACAATTTTGGTCATGTTGCCTTATTTGTAGATCTAACTTTGCTGTACATTATTGCTGTTTACAGTTTATCTCTATCTATAATAATATTCAAGATAATAACCAAAAGCTGCAAAATTTTCTTAAAATTACCAATTCAGGGGCAGCAACCCAACAACGTGTTGCCTGATTGGTCTTAAAATTTCAGGGCAGATAGATCTTGACCTAATGAACAATTTTATTCTCATCAGATTTGCCCTTAATGCTTTGGTTTCAGAGATATGAGCCAAAAAATGCATTTTACCCTATGTACTATTTTTTAGCCATGTCAGCCATCTTGGTTCGCGAGCAGGGTCATCGGACACATTTTTTGAACTAGATACCCTAATGATGATTGTGGACAAGTTTGGTTAAATTTGTCTTAGTAGTTTCAGAGGAGAAGATTTTTGTAAAAAAATTACAAAAATTTACGAAAAATGGTTAAAAATTGACTATAAAGGGCAATAACTCCTTAAGGGGTCAACTGACCATTTTGGTCATGTTGACTTATTTGTAGATCTTACTTTGCTGAACATTATTGCTGTTTACAGTTTATCTCTATCTATAATAATATTCAAGATAATAACCAAAAACGGCAAAATTTCCTTAAAATTACCAATTCAGGGGCAGCAACCCAACAACAGGTTGCCTGATTGGTCTGAAAATTTCAGGGCAGATAGATCTTGACCTAATGATCAATTTTATCCTCATCAGATTTGCTCTAAATGCTTTGGTTTCAGAGATATGAGCCAAAAAATGCATTTTACCCTATGTACTATTTTTTAGCCATGTCGGCCATCTTGGTTTGCGGGTGGGGTCATCGGACACATTTTTTAAACTAGATACTCTAATGATGATTGTGGACAAGTTTGGTTAAATTTGTCTTGGTAGTTTCAGAGGAGAAGATTTTTGTAAAAGATTACAAAAATTTACGAAAAATGGTTAAAAATTGACTATAAAGGGCAATAACTCCTTAAGGGGTCAACTGACCATTTTGGTCATGTTGACTTATTTGTAGATCTTACTTTGCTGAACATTATTGCTGTTTACAGTTTATCTCTATCTATAATAATATTCAAGATAATAACCAAAAAGGCAAAATTTCCTTAAAATTACCAATTCAGGGGCAGCAACCCAACAACGGGTTGTCCGATTCATCTGAAAATTTCAGGGCAGATAGATCTTGACCTGATAAACAATTTTACCCCATGTCAGATTTGCTCTAAATGCTTTGGTTTCAGAGATATATGCCAAAATCTACATTTTACCCCTATGTTCTATTTTTAGCCATGGCGGCCATCTTGGTTGGTTGGCCGGGTCACCGGACACATTTTTTAAACTAGATACCCCAATGATGATTGTGGCCAAGTTTGGTCAAATTTGGCCCAGTAGTTTCAGAGGAGAAGATTTTTGTAAAAGTTTACGGACGACGGACGACGGACGACGGACGCAAAGTGATGAGAAAAGCTCACTTGACCTTTCAGGTCAGGTGAGCTAAAAAGATTCTGAATTTACATGATGACATTACACAGGACCAAATAAATTTGAGAAGTATTAGTATGAAAATGTTGAAGGGTCATTACTTCTTAATAACTTTTTTATAAAATGGTGGCATAATAACTTCCACGAGAGTTGTTTCATTGTCAATCATACCACATCTTGCTATTTCTATATTGACCAATACTTGCAGGCAGATGAATAGGTAAAATAAAAACTTATCAACAAACGTACCTAAGTTCTACTAAATCAAACACCTGAGCAATATCTTTTATTGCTGAACACATGTACTTCAATGCTGAACCCTAAAATAAACAACCAATAGAATCTTACATTGAAGGAATTAATGTATCAGCAATGTGTGGTTATGGTGTGTGTTAACCTTCACAGATAAATCAAAGTATTAGTGTTCAGATATAAATTATTATTACATTCAATCACAGTAGCTTTATGTACCATATTTCTGCATAATTAGATCTAGGGGGGAAAATTTGCAAGCCCCGTCTAAATGTGCAGAAAAAAAATTTGACAGGGGGGATTATAATCTTCTCTGTTAAGTTTTACATTCAAAAGAAAGAACACAACAGATAATTAATGAAATAATCCTCCTTTGTATATTTTGTGGGGTCACAAAAATCTAAACATTTTTTTACCTAATCGAGGTAATGGTGAATATGTTTATAAAACAATGGAATAGAGGATGTTTGTTTACTGGTAATTTCAGCTGGTACATTATTACATGAGGTATAAGTGTATAGAGGAGTTTCCAATTTTGTTTTATGAATGAACAGTCCCAATTGACCTGGGGTCATTCAGAGAAAAACATGTCATTGTTACATGAAGATATTTGCTTTGCGACATCTATTTTTTCCACGAAAATGCACTCATTGGAAGATCTTGTATTATCACTAGCATGCATTTATCAGAATTAGCAGTGTATTATAATTGTAGATACCCATGCTACCTGTGTAATATGACTGGTGTGTAATTTTCTTAGCTGGCCATGTGTTATGTCTCGTGTGAAATAAATACCTGAGCTAATAGTGTGTTATGACTGGTGTGTAAAATTACTAAATGAGCAGTGTGTTGAGATCAAGGCTTCCAAAACGGTCATATATTCCGGACATTTGTATAATGTCCGGTAAAAGTCCGGCTGGGCAAAGCATGAAACGGACATCTACTTTTTAGTTTTCAAGGCTTTCTTAAGAGCAGTCGAAAATGATCATTTTAACATAATTCGCGATCTTTTTGACCCAACCTTTTGCCTTTAACAGCCACACATTTCCGGTCATAAAAGTGACATGATCATTAAGTACTATCAAAACAACTCCTACTTTAATACCTTCTCATTTTAATCAAGGCTAATTAGTTGTCGAACAGCTGAAATTTACCTGTTCAGGTGACAGGTAAACTATTTTGAACCGGATATTGATCGGTCTATTCAAAGTTATTTTCTTACATTTCAGCGGTTTGCATCTAATTAATTTAGTCAAAAAGATTCAAATTATCTGAAATACGTTTACAAATATTATTTGATGAAAAAATTAAAAAGGTGAAAATGAAAAATTGTCATAACCACGTTGTTTGAACCAGAGACATGTTTGAACTAGTACACATGTGCGCATGTGCGCATGTGTGAAATTTAATTATGCAGCCTAATTTCTTCAAAAAATTCTTAAATTGTCATTGATACCTTTATCTCACGTTTATTTCGAATATTTTCTTGAAGAAATAACGTAGAAAGAGCTACTTACACTCATTCATGCTTTGCAAGCGTACACAGAATTTACGTATCCGTCTCTGGTCCATGTTTTACCATTGTCAAGATAACATCCGGTTTAAAAACGAAAGTAAAGTTTTTGACAACGTTATTTTGCCCAAATAAAGAGTCTACGGCAGATATAAGTACGCTGATGTTGCACACTTCGAATGATGCACTGCCAATTTAAACAGTTTACGTCAGAACTTCGAATTTGAATCAAAGAAAGTTTAATATCGTTTTTTTTTAATTGTCAATCTGACATTGGGATGTCCAACTCGGCAACTGATTACCATTATTGCCTTTTGTTTATTTAGTCTTAAGGGATTAAAATCGGGATAATATATAAAATGTCCGGCTGGCTAAAAATAATTTTGGAAGCCCTGGTTGAGATTGGTGTGAAATAACTGCCGTGTTATAACTAATGTATTTTTTAGCTAGTAGTGTTTTATCACTTGTGTGTAAATATTTTAGCTGGCAATGAATTTAGTGTTGTGTGAATTTAAGTATATTTACCTGAGCTAGTAGTGTGTTATCACTCGTGTGTAACATCATACCACTTATTGCATGAAGTAAATGCTTCATTGTTTGTTCGAATGCAACTTTCCCTTTACCCTCCTCCAATCTACAAACAAACAACAAATTTCTTTCAAACTGGATTAATAGGCAGAAAATACTCCAGTATAAGATTGTAACATAAAGGTAGAAATCATGCAGGGCTGCCAAGTCTCACGCATTTAGCGTGAGACTCACGCATTTTCATGCTTATTTGGCGGCATTTTCCTTTGATCTATTGTTTTTTTCTCTTTGATCTTTACAATTTTAGCCAAATCTCACGCATTTGCTTCATGAAAAGTTGGCATAAGTGGAAATGATACTTTTAATATATAAATACTGGTGAACACAGGGTTTAGCAATATCATTTGTTGAGATAGGGTTGACAGGGGTTGACATAAGTCCAGATATCAAACAGCTGGGTCTTTTTAATTCTTTTTATAATGTTGCAACCTTGAAGCTTACATTATAACTTCTTCAAAAGTATATGATTTGAAACAGATGAAGGTTCTACAAAAGTTTAATGTAATTAAAAACAAACAAAATTTTAGCTTATGTTTTAAAGCCATGACTTTTTGTATGTCCTGAAACTTCATAAATGTACATAATTCCAAGGTATAAAAATAAAATATACCTAGCAGTATTAAAGAAACATATCTAATTTATTTACTATTTACAGACAATGTAGAAAAGAACTTACAAAGTAAATAGACTCCTTGACTTGACTATAAATTTAAACAGATATTCTAATGACTTCATGGCCTTGACCAGGTACTTCTGATTAACTTCTGTTGCTCTATCTACATATTCTCTGAGTAATGTTGTTAGCTTTCTGTAAACAGATGTTATACACAGTTAGTTAAGATCATAATTAAGAATAGCAACTTCTACAAAATGTGAAATAAAATAAGGATGGAGGGGAAGACAAAAACTGACATTTTGAGAAAAGACCAGCAGAAGTCAAAATCAACAGAACTTTATTTTTATCGATTATGTTCCTCTTTGAAGTATTAGTTGGATTTGTTTTCCTACAAATGCTACAAATAGAAAACTGAAATTTGTACTGTAGTATGAAGAATTGGATATTTCATAGTAAATATTAGAATTGCATTATAATACTTATTTATCAAATAATTGTGAAAAGGAAGAGAAAATGGTACACGCTCTACCTGTACTAAAATATGGTGGCCATGTTAACTAATTCTTGAGTAAAATACACATCTACTGAACATACATCATCTAAAGAAAAGACATATCCAACAGATCATTCCATTTTTTCCTTTGGCATTTGGTGTATATGCCATGGGCTAAGAGTTCCCAATTGTTATTAATGATTTTAACAGAAAATCTGTGACTTGGCTTGAAAACTATACTCACTGGTAAGCAGAAGGGAAGCTGAAGGTATCAGTAATGTAAGCATCTAACACTGGCCTGAACTGGTGATACTTTCTGTCTGATATCAAACCAATTATATGTACCTAAAATGGAATCAATTCTTATCTGTAAAGATCATGTAAATATCTACTTTAACATTAATTTTGCACATTTTTTCTAAATAATAAATGTGGTAAATATCTACCTACAAAATTTTGCACACAATGGTTTATAATTATAGATCCAGTTAAAAGGTCAGGATAAAAACAAAATACCAGTACCTGGTGATTTTATCTTCATTTTTTCTCTTGCAGAAGTAAAATGTTCAAGTGCCTGTCAAATGTTCAAAAATCCATCAGTACTCTCTGGTTGAATCTTACTGATATTTTCATTTATGAATATTAGTGTTAATGGCAGATCTTTGATGGTATCTCGAACAGCTATTTTTGAAGACTATGTTGGCATCTAGAAGTCTTTGGTTTCTTTCATCATTCAGCTGCTGTCTCATAATACATACCCACATCTCCTTTTATTTTTTGACATAGAAATATGATTTGCAAATTGCAGCAAACATATTCATGTATTCAAATGTCAACATATGTCCAGTATTTCCACGAATAGTGTTCTATATATCAGATCATACCATGATCATGGTATCAGCAAATGTCCAACATGAAAATTCCTAAGATTCTATTAATAGTTCTGTTTTACTTAAATAGTAAAAGTATAAATGTGTATCAAAGTACTTACCAAGCATTCAAACGCTTGACTGTCATATGTATCTGATATTGTGTTTTCTATCAAAGCACTTACCAAGCATTCAAACACTTGACTGTCATATGTATCTGATATTGTGTTTTCTATCAAAGTACTTACCAAGCATTCAAACACTTGACTGTCATATGTATCTGATATAGTGTTTTCTATCAAAGTACTTAACAAGCATTCAAACACTTGACTGTCATATGTATCTGATATTGTGTTTTCTATCAAAGCACTTACCAAGCATTCAAACACTTGACTGTCATATGTATCTGATATTGTGTTTTCTATCAAAGTACTCACCAAGCATTCAAACACTTGACTGTCATATGTATCTGATATTGTGTTTTCTATCAAAGTTCTTACCAAGCAATCAAACATTTGACTGTCATATGTATCTGATATTGTGTTTTCTATCAAAGTACTCACCAAGCATTCAAACACTTGACTGTCATATGTATCTGATATTGTGTTTTCTATCAAAGTTCTTACCAAGCATTCAAACACTTGACTGTCATATGTATCTGATATTGTGTTTTCTATCAAAGTACTCACCAAGCATTCAAACAGTTGACCGTCATATGTATCTGATATAGTGTTTTCTATCAAAGTACTCACCAAGCATTCAAACACTTGACTGTCATATGTATCTGATATTGTGTTTTCTATCAAAGCACTTACCAAGCATTCAAACACTTGACTGTCATATGTATCTTATATTGTGTTTTCTATCAAAGTACTTACCAAGCATTCAAACACTTGACTGTCATATGTATCTGATATAGTGTTTTCTATCAAAGTACTCACCAAGCATTCAAACACTTGACTGTCACATATATCTGATATTATGTTTTCTATCAAAGTACTTACCAAGCATTCAAACACTTGGCTGTCATATGTATCTGATATTGTGTTTTCTATCAATATTCTAAACAGGGAATCCAGAAGATCTTGTAAAAACTACAAAACAATATCAAAGTATGGTTTGGGTGTTTTAATCTAAAGAGAATAAAAAACTATTTATGCTATGTTGTAATGTTTAGAGAGGCCATAAGGAAGCGAAAACTGGCTACTAACAATACTGAGTCCAATGAAATCTGGCCACTTGTAATACAATCAAAAGTAGTGATAACTGCTCAGAAGTATTTTCTAAATAAATATGACTATTCAACAATTCAAGCAAAATTGTTTGAGACAATTTTGTGTACTAAATCAAGTCATTGATACATGTATATGATATGTAATATAAAGTTTAATGCATTTACTTCTCCCTACTCTTACAAGTCATTCAAGCCAACGATATGGGTAATTGTTTTAAGGTACCTGGACATTAATTGACTACATGTTTAATTAAGACCTGGCTGTTCAATGCAAAGCAAATGTCATGACTTTGAATAAACACATGAAAATACTATTCATCTTGAAAATGTCTTCTGAGGATTTAAATCGTTTTTTATTTTTCCAACTAGAGAACATTACATTTACATTCAAATACAAAAAAAAGTATGTAAATATTTGACTGCCATTTTGATAATTGTCCCATGCTGTAGTTTAGATGGATGTTTATTCAATAACAATATATAAGAGTATAGGTTTTCTACCTTGACTATTTCCTCTCCGTCAACATGCATCAGTTTGTCTAAGTGAAGTCGAAGTGCTGATGGATCCAATTCATTCAATAATTCCTGCCATTTCAACAACCCTAGAATATCCACTGCAAAAGAAAATAATGTCATCAGTACATTTATAAGAGCAAATAGTAAATTCTGGATAAATATATTTTTCTAAAAAGGTATAGTCAGGATCAATGGGCATTTTTGATGATACCTAACTGTAACCTAAGCCCATCAATAAGTTTTATACTGCAGACAAAAGTGAAATTCTGGAAATTCACACTAAAAGAATAGAGTCTATAAAACAGTGGTTGTAACTTTAGGGGTTTTCCAGTGTTTTTCCATGTGTATTTTTGTTTTGTTTTGTTTGTTTGTTTGTTTGTTTGTTTGTTTGTTTGTTTGTTTTTAAAGGGGGGGAGGGTTATAACCCAAGCCACCCACAATACAATTTCTTTAATTCTATGATTCTAAGTTGTTGCCCAAAAAATGTAACCACCCAAAGTCTCTCCACCACACACACATTTTCATTTATGGAAAAGATGTAACAATTAGACCTGTCAAATCTACAGAACATAAGCACTGATCTGGAAGCTCTTTCTCTAAGAGAATAGACAGTGATGTGGGGTGAATATCATTGAACTCTGAGTTTTCATAAGAGCCATACCATTATGTGTCAATTTTGTAGTGAGACAAATGCACCGATTTGGAAGCTGTCTCTCTTAAAATATGCCTTCTAAAATAATTTGATAAGAACCTTACCATTATGTGATTGTTTTGTAGAGCACTTATTAAGAGCATGTCTGTTTAAAGATTTGATAAGAACCTTACCATTATGTGTGAGTTTTGTAGAGCAAACAAATGTATTGATTTGGAAGCTATCTCTTTGACTAAGAGTGAATGGTCCACTAAACAGAGGCACTTTACTGTCTTTATGTATGCCTTGTTCTTCAAGGTCGTCCCTGGTACATGGCAGATCTAAGTATGGTGCTTGCTTGTCATCTTTTTTCTCTATCTGAAATTACAGTTTTGAATATGGTGAATTATTACTTACTCAATGTCAAACAATTTTCGTAATTATGATTTTTGTCAAATTGGAAATTTAAAAAAAAAAATCAACTGTGAGAGAAAGGGAATAAATTTCTAGTTTAGAAATAATTAAAAATTCTTTGTCTTTTCATTCTCGAACAATAACCATTCAAATGTTTGTAATAAATGCCCAAAAATGTATTCATACAATAATAATAACCCTTTTCATCAAATAAAATATGTAAAAACTATTTAAAAATGCTCTACCAAAAAATGTATGTAAAAAGTTAAGTTATAGGCAAGTAAATGCAAGTGGTTATTTGTGTGGTTTTCTATGCCATATAATTTTAAAATAAATGTAGTTCTCTGTATACTTTCATAATGGATAAAACATATATATTCATAAAACAATTAAAAAATAATAATAAAAAAAGATTTACAAAAAAAAAGCCAACAAAAAATAAAGACCACAGACACTTGTTTCATGAATATGGATATTCTTCCCCCCTCTTCATATCCATGTATGGAGGAGTTTCAACAAATGTACACTGAACAAGTAACAGTAATACAGTATATATAAAAAATAAGAAGATGTGGTATGATTGCCAATGAGACAACTCTCAACAAGAGACCAAATGACACAGACATTAACAACTATAGGTCAAAGTACAGCCTTCAATAATGAGCAAAACCCATACCGCATGTTTATCTTTAACCAAAACATTTATTGTTCTATACCCATTGAAAAAAAAAACATTCAGCTTTCATTTTAAAATCATCAATGTGATTGGATTTATGAGGAATCCCATTGAATTAGATGATGTTATTTTAAGGATTTTTTACTCGTTTTGATTCCTTCTGAAATCCAAGGAAAATGGAATTTCACAGACATGATTTTAAATTGAAAGTTGAAGTTTATTTAAAAAAATAAAGTAAAAGCCTGTTTAGTCTGAACTGGTATATAAAAACACATAATGTAAAGTTTTTGAATGTTTTGATTCTATAAAAGAACCCAGGGCAGGTGATTTCAATAATTGTTCATAAAGGAATAAAGATGATTAGGCCCATATCTTGCCACATATTTTCCAGATTACAATTTTAGAAATCAGCAATTTAACATCATAATTAAATGGATAATTGAATATAAGATATGATGCTTTTTTAGCAAGAAATTTGATAAGCAAAACTGGCTAATATACAATATGGAGAATTGTTGTGTAGATACCAAGGAGACAGCAACTCAACATCACAAATGACCATAAGATATCCAAAGAGCAACGAAATAGTCTTCAACTTTAAAAAGGTGTCTATACCATATGTCACACTCTAACTCGTCCTCAGTCTCCAAAACCTCAGAATAAATTCAACAGAAACTATTAAAGATCAGCCACAAACACCAAATTCTCCAAATAACCAAAAAAAAAAAACCCATCAAGATATGACAAAAAGCAACTACTGGTACTGGAAACATTCCAGACAGGGGATAGGCCCATGAACATGTAGTAGAGTTAATCTTTTTTTTTAACCTGATCAGAGGCCTAACAAAAGGTATACAAAAGAACAAACAAGAAATACATTAAACTATAAAATATATAATTAAACTCCATTTGAAGTGTTGTTGTCAATTTTGAGTATTATAAAATATATAGTATAATACTCAAAAGAACAAACAAGAAATACATTTAACTATAAAATATATAGTATAATACGCAAAAGAACAAACAAGAAATACATTAAACTATAAAATATATAGTATAATACTGTTCCTGTTAAAATCTACCAGTATGATAAATAAATATATTAACACTGTGGGTACCAATTTTTGGGGGATTAAGAAAAATTGTATTTTCAGAGATATTTGATTTTATGGTTTTACAAAAGTCTATAGAAAATGTGCACTTCATTGAGCATTTAAATTCATGGTTCAACTGAACCCAAGAAAATTGGTTTCCAAAATGCAAGGAAAAATAATTAATCCACAGTTCTAGTTTACTAGATAGTAACCAGTACAGGTGTAGATATCTATGAACACAGAATACTTCTACACAAGTAGTGGTTACTTATTATCCAATAAACTAGTAATGTTAAAACATCAATTTACATCATTTGGAATTGGGTGGGTTGTTGTAAGTAGATAAAAGCGTGGGTGTCATAGGATCTATACAATGATACAACTTGGAAGCTTAAATCACCTGACTTTTTTACATTTTCCAAAATAACTAATATATAAGTGGAAGATGACAGGGTAGGGAATACTTTAATGAAGATCAATTCTATGTAAAACAACAACTAGTTTACAGCTAATTGACTGATGCCATTACTCTCAGTGCTCAGTAGACATTCAAATAGATAAGATAGCCACTACCTCGCTTACTGCTGTAGACTTAGATGAATGATTTTATGTTGACTTTATATGAAAATTTTAAAACTGCAAATAATAAGTTTGAGAATTTTGATTAATGAGGCTGAAAAAGGCTCTGACTATCCCCTGTCATAGTAATAAAACAAAAGGAATAAAACTACTATAAATTGAAGTACCTAAACTAGAGAACTACATTTATCAATATCTGTATAATCTATATTATCGTGTCAATAAATGATTGATAAAGTGCTTTCATAACTAATTTTGCAGTGATACAGTGTTTAGTTAGGATTAATAATAATATGTGGTCAGTCAATTTTATTCAAATTTCATATGTTTTATATACTTCCGTTATAAATAAGTGAAAAGATATGAGATTATATTTTAAAATATGGTATTTTACCTTTTGCTAAAAAATAGAAATAGGACAACTGTATAGGAAGAATATAAATTGCTTAAAAATATCAAAATGCCACCCAACAGGATCACACTAAAACACATGGCATGATCTGTTTTGACATAAAAAAATAAATCAAAATACAATATATGCACATAATTCAGTAAATAAACCAAATCTTTCCTACATGTTTTATACAAAATCACTTATTGTCTAATCAACAGTATTTTCCATGTTCTTTCAGTATTATTCTAAAATCCGGTCAGTGAAATATACAGTATATATTAAAACATACAGGAAAATTATGGCTACATACTAACAAAAATACTTGATTAAATAGATACATTTACCAAACATTTTCAAAAATCATTACACAAATAAACAACAAAACTAGAGACTCCGAACATCCTGAGTAGCTCTCCTGCCTAAAATAATTTTTTTTCAGTACCATTATCACATTAGATATTTAACAAAATCAGGATAACAAAATTTATTCACAAACTTACAAGCCCTCTCCCTCTCCCCCATATCAAAAGACCCACCATAGAACGGTCATTGCAATATTAAATACTAATCAAATGATTTGTATACCTGGATTTGCTTGTTTATCAATTTTGCTTTTTATAGTTTCTCTCTATTCATAATTGTTTTCAAGGTAATATCCAAAAGCATTAAAAGTTAAAAATAGAATCTGTCGGACTCAGTTGGGTCAAAAATTTGGATAAGTCTAGGTATTTTGTCAGTTCCAGTAAAATTCCTGTTTGTCCAATGCATTTTTAAACTCTGATGAGTTAAACTCAGTTGATTCAAAATTCTAAGTCCCCTTAAAGCAAAATGCACATAAACTAACCAGCTGCATTGAAGTATGAAGTACAAGGAAATTCGGAAGGAAAATAATTAATTTTTACCCTTTTCCACCATAACATACTAGGTTGACAATAAAAATTACAACTTTGAAATTGGGGAAACATGATACAGCTGACAACCTCGTATGAGTCTAATAGTTTTGTCTGGTCCCTTAGACTTCAACTGTATTTATATTAATACCAAGTTCACATGCCTATCGACAATCTTTAAAGGTCATGTCTATGGATAATTAGCTAATATCTGGTCCCAAAATGTTCGATACTTTTAACGATTTGAAGCTTTGTTTATTGTATTTTCAAGATATATGACAATAACTTGCTTGCAATTTACTCTTATGATCTATCTTTATACATGGTGGCCATGTCGTTTGGTTAGCAAGGACAAATAAAGAGCTGCTTCCTTTTAGCTTGTCTTTATGCTTTAAATGAATTTATATGATCAACTAGAAATACTGCGAGCACTGCTCATTATACAATTTCTTGACAACATATTCCATCTTTGTGTCTGTAAGTAAGAAAGTTAATTAAGCAGAGTAATTCTTAAAAGCATTAATCTTCCCAGAACCAAGACATCAGGGTTAATAACAATGGTCTCCTTCATTCATCAGGACTCTCGTTCAATTAGTCAAGTGGCACTAAAGAAAACTTCCATTTTTTAATTAGTTAATATTATTCAAGTTTCAATATTCTCCTTGTTCAATACATCAGTAATTGAATTATAAACAAATTTTAATGGATTATAAATCTGAAGATAAGATTGTGAGGCTGAAATTATATATAGCTTCAATGTTTTGCATGAGTCCATTCACCTTTCCTGAAATCAATGTGGAACTTTAGGAATATCACAATTTTGTTCTTCATTATGCATAATTTACATATGAATATTCTTGTTTTGAGTAAAAGTGGAAAGATGAAGAGTTTAGGATACTTCTTACTTAAAGAGATATTTCTGGAATAGATATTTATAATATGTTTTCCGAATATAATTTGTCCAATAAATTCTAAAGGGTTTAGCACGCAGGAAATAGAATGAGAAGAAGACCGTATTATATAATCTATATTATAACATGTTTCAGTTTGTAAAAGCTCCAATGTGAATACTGCACCACCATGTCTCTATTTGAAAGCCCCAATGTGAATAATGCGACACTATTCTCTATTTGAAAGCCCCTTTGTGAATACTGCGCCACTATGTCTCTGTTTGAAAGCCACTTGTGAATATTGCAACACCATGTGTCTACATGAAGCACACAAACACTCCACTGCAGAAAATCCATATATAAAACTGTGTCACCTGATATTATATACACACCATGACACACAATTAATGATTGCTCTCCCTTAACCTCATGTTAACATTAATTCATGCTCTGGAAAACCTGACTTGAAATGGACTTGAAACACACTTGTAAACATGATTTTTGTTCAAATAATTTGGAAAAATATTTCGAAAGACAATGATCATAGTTTCTGCCAAATATATATTTGTTAAAGTGTTAGGTTACTATCCATTTCAGTCCATATTTATACCTTGTCAACCTTTTCTAACTTTTCTAACTCAAACAATACAGAATACCTCTGTTTTTTAACACTTGAATGTCTCTGAGACTGAAACAAAAATCATTCTTAATTCTGTTTTTGAACTTGGTTATGTTATTTGCAAACATTGTTAGTCTGTAATTAAGTAACATCCAACAGTTCAAGAATGGTTACAGTTAAATTCCAGATTTAAGATAACTTCTCAGAAAGATCAATACAATAGCTTCTAGATTTTTTTTACCAAATACAGGGAAGATTTAAAAGTGGCAGTTATCATAACATGTTAATTTGCTTTTTAGGATAATTATCAAACATAAAGCATTACTAAATAAATTATTTCTTTGTTTTCTGTAGTTAAAATCTTTCTAATAAAACTGAAGAATTCAAAATTTTCTTATTTAAAAATTGTCTGGAAAAAGTGAGAAAAAAAAATGACCCGTAATTTTTTTTGTCATAAGATTATAGTTCAAAAATATACTTAATACAATTACTACTGTGTTTGTTATAAACTAAAGTTAATCAAATATCATACTTTATATAAATCACTCAGGTTAAATGACCACTAGTTAATTCAAAATATTGGTAATGGCATATTTAAATAAGTGAGCTGTTAAAAATATACTTCATGTCAGTTTTACTTTGTGAGAGTAAATGTAATATTTTAACATGAGTTTGTGCCTATCTTGCTTGCCATTTAAATCATTGCATGTTCTTTTATATCTAAACTTAAACCTTGCAGTTATAAAAGTGTTCTTTCATATCTAGAATAATTTTCAAAATGGTTATATTTCTAAACCCAAAGATATGAAAACAACATTAGAAAGCAACAAACTAACCAAATGTATGACTTGCTTCATAAACCAAACCCAATTTTTGCAGCTATCAAACACTGTTGAACTAATTATTAATAATTGTTAATGAAGTTAAGAAAACTTTCTCATACAAATGAATATGGTAAACTTTGGCATGTCAGATGAAAATTTAAAAAAACCCAACCCAAACTAATAAACAAACTGAAATGAAACAAACTATTGATCCTAAACCCAGTAAAAAATTACCAATCCATGAACAAACCTGTAAAACATGAAAATGAAAGCATGAACTTGCACCACATGATTGGAAATTTAAAAAATAATCCTTAACAAAACTTGTTACTTTGACTTGATTGTAAGTGTTGCTGTCTACCTATTACAGTTCATTCAAAATTCTGACCAATTTGCAATCTGTTTCATTGAACCAGTCATGGTGACTTTACTGTGGTTCTCCTACGGCAGTTGGTTAAAATTTCTGATCAGTTGAACAGTTTGATTTGATGAACTAAATTGTAATTTAGCTCGAATTTTGAATGTACTGCAATAGGTGGACAGCAACACTTGAAATCAAGTCGCTGTAAATATAAAAATAAAACTAAACTGTAAACTGAAATGAACGGAAAAAGGCAAGCATGATAGTCTATTAAATAAGCAAGGATTAATTAGCGTGACAATAAAGCACCACAAACACAATGTCAGTATTTACCCCGTCATTTTTATTCTGAAACAAAGATGGAACATTTCACATGCATCCTTAATTTGTAGCCTGTCTACATAATGTTAGGCCAAAGAAATTAAATTCTATGTTGTGTATCTATATTGTATTGTTCTTTACAAAAATAGATATACAAAAGTCGTTTTTAGAAATCAAAATTTGTTCATCATTGGTAGGTTGGCTTTGACGATTTTTTGATGCCTTGTTATATGCAGTACTCTGAAGTCAATTTCACTTGGCATCATCTGTTTTCAGAAAAATGTTTTTAATAAAAACATGAAATCCAAATTTTAAGGTATATACCATTCATTTTTATCTAAAGGAGGATACTTTTCAACTTTTTCCTGAAACAATAACATAGAATTTAATAACCAAGGTCTTGTAATAAGAATTCTCACAGATTTATTATTTTTTATACTACTGGATAACAGAATTATAGTTAGTTCAAAATTTTGAAATTTGTAAATATCAACATACTGAAAAATACATTATTGGAAACTCTTGCTTTAAAAAGCACACCAAATTTGGATGAAATTTATTTTTCTGAAAAATATCCATCAGTGTGCATTTTTCTTTATTTTGAAAATTACAAGATACTATGTCATTTTCATAAAAATATAACTGCACATTAGATATACAGATATAAAGCCAAAGCTAAGAAAATAATATGTGTATCGCCATGTAACTTTATTTCTTCAACATTTAATCAAAATGTAATTTTTAATTTTTTTTATATTAAAGCAATACATACCACAGAAAACATGATAAACACATTTTTTAAACATTCTGTTAAAAAATCTTTTTGATGATGGATTCTAGTATAAATACTTATAAAATTTATCTTACTAAAAATTTTGTGATTTCAGACCAAATAAATATTTATCTGTTTCATATTACCTGACTGACTAAAGTGTTAACAAAACCACAATATTTATGGAAATGAGTACTCCATACATAACATTAGTTTTACAATACAATTTAACCTTCTTTGATTTTTGGTCATGCACACTTTTTATATCAAGTTGAACTGCTTGTTAATTTTGTACTCAAAATAGAAGAAAGAAATGTTGAAGAAATAAATGCAACTTAAAACAGAGGGTGTTGCTAGGAGTCAGTTGCAACATAGTATTTTAACAGAGAACATAATACCAGTGATTTTTAGACATAGAGAGAAATTTTTGTTTGTAGGTCTAACACTGAATACTGCATCAATATAGCTTTCTGTCGCAGTTTGCAATTGCAGAACTTAGCCAGAAAATGTTTTACTAACTATTATTGCAACATTACAGAATCAACTAGCCAATCCAATGTTGACCTAATCATCAACTTTATGTTAAAAGAATTATCCCCATTCCTTAATTAGCATCTAACAAAAAGAGACCACATGACTTACCCCCATTTCTCAACCTTATAAGACCTTGCCAATCTCACTTCTCCTCAATGTACCTCTTGTTTTCTTACCTTATAAACTAGTAGATTATGATCAGTATCGTTCAATGTTGTACCATTTTTCTGGTTCAGCAGTTTTATGAATGACATGGCAAATGGCCTCTCAGATCTATCTTTGCCTAAATATTTCATAAATAAGTTATTTGCCAATTTACATACTGTTAAACATTTGATACAAATTTTCATAAAATAACTCTTTTAATGTCTGATATGGAGTTATATGGCCTACTTTTATTGAGATGTCTGTACAAAATCTAGAAACTCTATCCATCTACCTAACTTTTTGTCTCAATATATATCTTTTTTATTTTAAATTCTAATCAACTCTTATTAAAATAATGGAATATCTTATACCAAAACAAATCTTACTTTCACTGGAAGATCTGTGCTTAAATAAAAACTTCAGATGAAGACCTTTAAACTCCTCCTCTGTTGATATGGCAATCTACAATATAAAGGTACATAAATGTTAAATTATCTCTTGTGTGGTGCTTCTCTAATAGACTATTTTCATATTACAGACTTTTGACTCCGGAGTATATAGTTTTTGACAGGTTACCTACTCTTTAGTAGGACTTTCTGGTACTCAGACAAGTAAGCGCAACTAAAAGGAGTAAAATCAAGCTTACAATTGGTGCAAAGATGCATACAGATATATATATATCAAATATCAGGATGCAAATTCTTATTATTACAATACTAACCCAGTTGTGTTATTTGCATAAATGAGAACCTAACAATAATTTCTGATTTTAAAGTATTTCAATCATGTGTCTGAGAAATTGAAAACTTGGCAGCATTCTGAAAACCATGCTCCTAGTATTAAATAAGGATAATGCAAAGCATATTGACAAATATGTCATTACCATAATAGTTTCAAACCATTTCAGTTTATCGTCATGATAGAACACCAATGATCTGTACCTGTTTGTATTATTACCTTAATAGTTTCAAACCATTTCAGTTTATCTTCATGATAGAACACCAATGATCTGTACCGGTTTGTGTTATTACCTTGATAGTTTCAAACCATTTAGGTTTATCTTCATGATAGAACACCAATGATCTGTACCTGTTCGTGTTATTACCTTGATAGTTTCAAACCATTTAGGTTTATCTTCATGATAGAACACCAATGATCTGTACCTGTTTGTGTTATTACCTTGATAGTTTCAAACCATTTAGGTTTATCTTCATGATAGAACACCAATGATCTGTACCCAATTGTGTTATTACCTTGATAGTTTCAAACCATTTAGGTTTATCTTCATGATAGAACACCAATGATCTGTACTCATTTGTCATATCATTTCCACAGCCATAACTGATAACATCCTGAAAGATACAAAAAAAACTGATAACATCATGAAACTTAATAACTATTATTGTTCGTGAGATACCATTATTTGTAGATTTCAGAGGTATAGGTAAATCACAAATTCAAATCTTCAATGAAATACAAATCTTCTAACAGGTTGTATGCAGCCTTTGTCAAAATCATGAAATCAAATATCCACAAAAACACAAATTTTCCTCAATCCATGAAAATCAGTACCCACAAAAATAAATGAATCCACAGTATTTGTAACTTATCAGGTGCCTTCATATAATTGACACAATAGATCCCCTTCTTTGTGCCTTTTCTGCTCTCTTATTGCAACTAGTCATACTTCAAGTAGTATGATTAAGTATCCAAAATCTGATCCTGGAGTTAAGTAAAACATATAATTGTCTACAGTTCTACATGGCTTTATTTTTCTTTCTTTCTGTCTTTTTAAACATTTTTTATAACTTCAAAGATCATTATGAATTTCAGTTTCGGAATGAGTGCAAAAAAAATAGAAAACCAAAAGCAAACAGCTTATTAAAAGTGGATGATCAAACACTGAAAAAGTTATTACTGTAAACAAAAAAGTGGGTTTCTACAAATTTAGAAAGGATATGATTAAGCTTACATCTTATTAATCTTATTAATAAAGATGAAATGAAGATTTTTTTACGCCCGACTTTTTTTCTTGAAAAGCAAAAACAAAATTTTCTACTTATATGATAATGAAAACAAACCTTTAATGGTTCTCCTTGTTTATTGCACACTAACACAGTCACTTCAACATTTTTGTCTGCTGTTTTAGAACCTCTGGTAAACTCTCCTTGTTTGATAGTTACATAAATATCATTCCTAACATCTCCTGTAAAAGTTTAACATAATCTTTGCTACTATCAGGTTTTCATAGGTATAGTAAATGATACATGGAAGGTTGACATCAAGAATTCATCCAAAATTCTCCATTCTGAAGGATACTACATAAACTACTATAAGAATGATTTGCTTGAATACTGTTTATATTGTATACATAAATAGTAGCCCTTGCCATGGCATTCTGAGTTCCTTTTTGAATTATGAGTTTGATCATCCCTTTGGTAACGTTCGCCACTCTATATATTCCGATATATTTCCTAATGTAAATGAATACTATATTATAAAATTTGAAATATTAAGCCTTATTTATATAATATAATTTAAACTATCATTGCTATGAGTAATTATCTTTTCCACATTTAAAGTCAGCTAGTAATGAATACTATAGCTGTGGCCAAATTGATAAAAAAAAATCACATGTAGTAATAAATGTGCAATACATTTTTTTGTACTTGCAACTAACTTCAATCAGAGATAATCGTTTTTTTGGGTTTTTTTTTTAAAAGTAATGAAATACCACTACTGAACTTATAAAATAAAAAGAGCAAAAGCAAGCAAGACAAATGTGAGCATGTTTTTTTAAATGTCTTCAAAATGATAAAAGCCTTCAAAATAGTGATAATTTTAAAATAACTACATGTAGTGGTGTATATTATACAGAACTCAAAATCTCAAATTAATTCCAAATAAAGGTAAAAAAAAAAAAGGAATAAAATGCTCCGCAGTGCGCAGCTTGATACGACTGCAGAGATCGAAACCCTGACCAGTTGGGGCAAGTATGGACACAACATTCAAGCTTGATACAGCTCTGAATTTTGGTTGTGATTAAATATTTGACACAGCACAGGTTTCTGACACAGAATGAATGTGGTCTAAGAACTTAAAAATTCTAAATTGGACATTCACCTATTATGGTCCAATATCCAAAATCTAAATACATGGTTAGATTCAGCATATCAAAAAAACCCAAGAATTCAATTTTTGATGAAATCAAACAAAGTTTAATTTTGGACCCTTTTGACCTCAATGTGGACAAAGTTGATAATGGGGCCCAAAAATCAAAAATCTAAATACATGGTTAGATTCAGCATATCAAAGAACCCCATATATTCAATTTTTGTTGAAATCAAACAAAGTTTAATTTTGGACCCCGATTTGGACCAACTTGAAAACTGGGCCCATAATCAAAAATCTAAATACATGTTTAGATTCAGCATATCAAAGAACCCTAAGAATTCAATTTTTGTTAAAATCAAACTAAGTTTAATTTTGGACCCTTTGGACCTTAATGTAGACCAATTTGAAAACGGAACCAAAAATTAAGAATCTAAATACACAGTTAGATTCGGCATATCAAAGAACCCCAATAATTCAATTTTTGATGAAATCAAACAAAGTTTAATTTTGGACCCTTTGGACCTCAATGTGGACCAATTTAAAAACGGGGCCCAAAATCCAAAAACTTAATACACGGTTAGAATCAGCATATTAAAGAACCCCAAGAATTCAAGAATAAAACCCCATTGAAATTGGTCAAGAAATAAGCAACTTATATGAAGTATCTTCTTTTGCACAATACTGTGCAATTGAATATTTCTTGCAATTGCGCAATACTGTACAATTGACAATTTCTTGCTATTGTGCAATATTGTGCTATTGGATATTTCTTGCTATTGCACAATACTGTGCAATTGAAGATTTCTTGCTATTGCGCAATACTGTGCAATTGAAGATTTCTTGCTATTGTGCAATTCTGTGCAATTGAAAATTTCTTGCTATTGCACAATACTTATTATATAATAATTTACACATCCTGTTTGGTGTGTATCTCCTACCATATCATTATTATTTGCTTTTAAATATAAAACAGAAATAACCAACTTAAAATGGAAAATTTTAAAAGAAAAAAAAAAGGAAAAAAAAAAAATCCCCCCCCCCCCCCCCAATTTTTTTGAACCCCTTATGATTCATCACCCCCAAACTCAATCCCAGCCTTCCCTTTGTGGTATGGTACCTTGCAGTACAATTTCAGAGAGATGCATACACTTGAACACAAGTTATTGTCTGGAAACTAGAAAAATGCTTATTTTTGGCCCCTTTTTGGCCCCTTATTCCTAAACATTTTGGGCAATTACCCCCAAACTCAATTCCAGCTTTCCCTTTGTGATATGGAACCTTGTAGAACAATTTCACAAAGATCCATACACTTACACACAAGTTATTATCATGAAACTAGAAAAATGCTTGTTTTTTGCCCCTTTTTTGGCCCCTAATTCCTAATATTTTGAGGCAATTACCCCCAAAATCAATCCCAGCATTCCCTGTGTGATATGGAACCTTGTGGTAAAATTTCAGAGAGATCCATACACTTGAACACAAGTTATTGTCTGGAAACTAGAAAAATGCTTATTTTCGGCCCCTTTTTGGCCCCTTATTCCTAAACGTTTTGGGCAATTACCCCCAAACTCAATTCCAGCTTTCCCTTTGTGATATGGAACCTTTTAGTAAAATTTCAGAAAGATCCATACACTTACACACAAGTTATTGTCATGAAACTCGAAAAATGCTTGTTTTTTGCCCCTTTTTTTGCCCATAATTCCTACTATTTTGAGGCAATTACCCCCATAATCAATCCCAGCATTCCCTGTGTGATATGGAACCTTGTGGAACAATGTCAGAGAGATCCATACACTAACACACATGTTATGTCTGGAAGTTACAAAAATGCTTATTTTTGGCCCCTTTTTGGCCCCTAATTCCTTAACTGTTGGTACCATAACCCCCAAAATCAATCCCCACCTTCCTTTTGTGGTATTGAACCTTATGGTAAAATTTCATAGAGATCCATTCCCTTAAACTAAAGTAAGAGTGCGAAAACCAATGTGTCTTCGGACGACGCCGGACAACGCCATACCAATATACGACCGCAAAAATTTTTTGCAGTCGTATAAAAAGCGTGTCTGCTAAACTTTCTTATAAGAAACAAGTAATGTAAACCTGAATCCACTGTTTTCTATTATAAGGTTAAATATCACACTGGAAAGAGAAAAAAATTACAAATGATGAAATTTTTTCCTGTTTAGTAAAAACAACATTTTAAATATTTTTCACTTTCTAAAAGAAATGAGATTCTGAGATCCACACTTAAAAGTCAGTAAAATTAATCAAATAAAAGTGAAAACATGTAAAGCCAACAGTTATTTCCCCTTACCTACCACTGTTCCATGGCAAGCAATAAATAAAGGATTATAGTTTAATATAAAATAATATTATTTAAAATATGTACTAATCAAAACTGATTCACTTGCAGCTATTCTTTGAAGTAACTATCAAATAATATAAAACTCCTTCTATATGCTTGAAATTAGTTTTACTTCAGCCATTAACTTTTTTAATGGCTGAAGTAAAATTGTCATGTGATCTGCAATGCTTATGTAATTTGATCGTCTGTAAATATGAGCATCTTGACAGTATCAATGGTTATTAGTTTATATATTGACCTAAAAAAAACTTATTGATTAGTCAACATTAATTTTGACTTCAGTAACATTTATTTCCCAAAGATATATCTCGATATGATTACCTTGGATGCTAAATCTACGATTTTTTCTAACCAATACACTACCAAGTGCTGAAAAAATCATGTTTTCTAAAAATTCAGATTTTATATAGATTCCCTTCTTAATATGCTTCAACTTTTGAAGAAAAAAAAAATCTAAATAATTTCTGCATTTGGGAGAAAAAATTCCATTTTTATTGAAAATGATATTTAATTTAACATATTTTAAGTACATAAAATATGGCTTTCGTTTACCAAAATTAACAGAATATGTGTAAATCAATATCATTATATGAATTTCTAGTTTTTGTCTTTTGTAACTTCTGTCACTTAAAGAAAACTAACCTGGCATGATAACCTCCGGGAAACCCATCTTTCTAGATACTGCAGTTGCCATGGTGACTAAATGTGGATGTTCTTCTCTTGCCTGAAATAAGACAGAAAAAATACTTTCCACCATATTCGGTAACATATTCTCCTAATTCACACCTGGTTACAATTATTTTCAGTCATATGACCAATATATTAACAATAATTTAACTGGTGTACATTGCACATGGAATGGCATTAATAAAATGTTATGACCTCAATAAATGCTTCAATCTGTCTGTCTGTCAGTATAATTTTCTAATTTTAATATCCCTTTCATTTCATATATTTCCTAAGCTTAGCAGGTCTTTTTATTCATTCAAATGAATCAGTGAAAACAGTCAGTTGTATTGAATTGTCTAAAAGCAAACTATCTTTTTTTTAAACTTAATTCTTATATTGGAATTTTAATGCAGTAATTAAAATCCAAGACTGTCTAAAATGCTAGAGAATTCCAAACTGAGTTTGGAAAGAAAAAATGTGCATAAAAATCATTCTACTTAAGACTTTTACAAATAAAATGTGTCCTCTTCTATACATTTAGCAATAAGGGAAAAAAATCAAAGATATAATATGTCATAATTATGACTAAACATGCAAATTAAATTTGATGAGGTAAAAATTAACTTAAGTGAAAGTAAAAATAAAACCTTACCATCGTTCTGTTGATCACATTACCATTTCCATGAATATGGAATTCAGTATTTTATCCTTAAATCATCTTTTTATTTCTATTGGAGTATTCATTTTGAGTCACATTTTTCATCACTTATATTGCTTATATCCACATGAAGATTATAATTACAAGTATCATCTGTGAAAAGAGGTTCCGACACATGTTTAAAATGTGACTTATATTCATATCTTGTATTATTTTTACCCCCAAGCAGTATTAAGCAAAGAGTGTAAACTTCAATAAATTTGAAATAACAACTGCATACCTGTTTGAGGTCTCCCATCATGATTTTCAGTGAAACCCAAAGTCCTTGACCTTTGTGGTTGATTTCTTTAGCTGAGACAACTTTCTTTATTAAAGATTCCATGAATTCTTCTCCACTTGGTCTAAACAACAAGATAAAGAAAAGTTGATATTGAGATATAATCTATATAGATAAAGGCAAATAGCCATATACATTTTTTAATATTTGAATGCAACACTTTATTGAACATAATTTATTGATTCAAGGTAAGAGAGAAAAACTGTATGACTTTCAACATATGCAAGTTTTTTTTTTTTTAGTAATGATCTGAAAGCGATTGTCAACTGTTTTGATTTCAGAAAAAAAAACTTCTAATCTGTATATAATATCCATTTCACAAATACATCATGAATTCTATAGCTTTTAAAGTAATAAATGTTCTTATTTCAGACAATTTTGGCTATATCCTGTTTGCTTCAATCAGCTTTCAATCTTTTTCTAAAGAGCAGTTAAGATATTTGCAATATTACTTACTGCTGGAATGGAATAAACACTTGCATATCTTCATTAACTTCTTTCAAACCTTGTAATATGTCTGTTATTTCTGTGGCTAAAAATGTACAAATCAATATTTTATAAAATTATAAATTCGTATATTTTAACTAATTTGATTCGTTCAGGGATAGTCACATGTTAAACTATATTTTCGAAGGTAGACAGAAAACGGCGGATAGCAAAAAGCATATTGCATAGCAAAAAGCATATTGCACGGTTATTTTTAGAATATTTAAAAACCGATATACTTTGTGACGTCATGTAATGAATTTCATGATATTGTTAAAAGTATTATCAAAAAATATCTTTGATCGATTATTTGAAGAAAAAAAAATCTTCAAATAAATAAGATGTTAAAAAACAAACATAAAAAATAAATGAAATAACAACTAATATGTTGTTATTGTCTAGGAGACAATATGATATCTATAAATTTCCAACAAAATCAAATGACGATTTTCATACAAATATGGTCGGAAATTAATAATATAACAATTATAGCCTATGTATGAGGTCAATACAGGATATATCGAACCAAAGAAGTATATCGACCTCGGACTTCGTCCTCAGTCAATATACTTATTTCAGGTCAATATATCTTTGTATCGACCTCATACCAAGGCTATAATTGTATATTATTAATTCGTATATTTTAACTAATTTGATTCGTTCAGGGATAGTCACATGTTAAACTATATTTTCGAAGGTAGACAGAAAACGGCGGATAGCAAAAAGCATATTGCATAGCAAAAAGCATATTGCACGGTTATTTTTAGAATATTTAAAAACCGATATACTTTGTGACGTCATGTAATGAATTTCATGATATTGTTAAAAGTTTTATTAAAAAATATCTTTGATCGATTATTTGAAGAAAAAAATCTTCAAATAAATAAGATGTTAAAAAACAAACATAAAAAATAAATGAAATAACAACTAATATGTTGTTATTGTCTAGGAGACAATATGATATCTATCAAATCTTATCCTTTACATTATATAACAACACAAGCAAAAGTGAATATTAAATCATGTGGATTATAAATCATTATTATCAAAATTTACAATTCTCACAAAAACTGTTTTTAATTTTCAAAATTTCTAAATCTGAATGATTCTCTGGTATTTTCAAAAGCGTACACAAAAACATTGTGATTAGCTAAAAATATCAAAAACATTGGAAATTTAACGAACGATGAGACATTATTTTGGCTTTTCTGGGTAAAAACAATTAAGTTACCCATAATCAGTGAGTTGCAGCATAATAATCATTTACACATGAGTCTTCAACAAAAACTGCATAATTCAACTATTCAAATATGAAACTTCAACAAAAAACTGCATATTTCAACTTTTCCTAGAAACTTGGCAAATAAAATGCAATAATGGATCGCCTTTATTAAAACCATTTATTTCCTAATGTCTGGAATCAGAAATAGAACTTACCTGCCACACCAAATGGACGTCTTAAGCATTTGGTCTGTTTCTTATCATGGACATCATTTGAATCCATTACACCTGCAAGAAGCATTAATCATAGTGTGTTTATGAGGCTACAAAATTAAAATTAAACCACCCATCAAAAAGTTCAATTATTAAGGGTTTGATTTCTGGCCAGCTCAAATCCAAGGCTACAAAATTGTTTTTTATTGCATTTTAACTTGGCAAGCAACAATTAGGAGGAAGAGAACAGACCAGTTGGCTCAAATCTAAAATAGAATGATATGTCCAATAGGGTGGTATGTCTTCATTACAACTATTACTTTTGTAACTATATCTGATTCAATATTCAACTAAGCGTGTCGATAAAGTACAAATTAGCATAAATTCATCAAACAGTTACATGTTAATCTTTTGCTTATACAAGCGATCTAAAATTTGCAGCTGCACATAATGAATAAATCATTCAATAAATCAACAAAGAAAGATCGTTTACTCTCCTTCATTCACTAAAGTGCATGTTAATAATTTTGATTTTTTCTTAAAAGCTACATTTGCAACTTACAACCATTTTAATAACTGAAAATACAAGTAGAATTAGATTTTTCAAAGTGTTTTCACCCAGTTAACAGTAAACCTAACTGTTTTGGGGTCATTAAATTAATTATCAATCTTTACTACTTCTCAATGTATGATTTGAAAACTAACATACCAACTCTAACCACTTGGATGACTAGGAATACTTTTTCTCTTTGCCTGTCCTTAATACCAAGGTCCTAAAATATCAAATATTTCAAGTTATAGTGATGTAAATCTAGTTTTCAATCAGATAAATCAATAATTTCATTTGAAAAGACAGTTTTCAATCAGATAAATGAATAATCTCATTTGAAGACAGTTTTCCAGATGTTAAATGATTTTCTCTTTGAAAAGGAAAAATAAAATTATCATTTCCTATTTCTAGCTTTTGATCATATCAAGTAATTTTTACCTATCTCTAATATGAATATATATATGATTAAATGAAAAATTTTCAAAACAAATATTGTACCATGTTCAAATATTTAATCAGCTAATCAATTCTTAACTTACAGTAAAGACAACTTTAAAGTTATTCAGGTTGTCTATATCTTTTGGCACGCCTTCTTTACCCCATTTTACTACATAATTTTCACTGTAATTAAAACATTAAATATAGTTAAAGGATGTATTTTTATTACTGTCATAGTGCATTCAGCAACATTTGTACTTTCTAATGGCAATTTTATTTTGCGTTATTTATATTACTGCTACAATTTCTAACCAGTTTATTCTGGTTAACTCTCTGATATAACCTTTCGAGTTCAGAAACAGAAAAAGATCAGTGAGAAAATGTCATTTAATATTTAAATTAACATTGAAATATCTATCTTATTTCAAATGCAATTTCCACCATATCATGCTTATGAATGTATGTTTAAATAGAACAACCCTAACTTTTGCCCTTATAAAAATAACTGGAATTCTTTGAGAATCTCACTTAAGAAAATATACCTTTCACAAATGATTCTCAAAGGAATTCAATTTTTGGCCAAAAATGCATCAATATGAAAATTACATATTACATAAATGTTGAATACACATATAGTATTATCATTTCCTTTTTTCTTTTTCATTCCCATGATTAAATTACAATATTTCCGTTAGCACCACAAATTAAATTATGGAAAACAGTATAATATCAATGTGCTTAATGACCGAAGAAAAGCACTAAGTTCACTGTTGCTCCACAAAGGCTATTAAAGAAGGAATTGAGGCTGAATTGCAAAAAACCTTGATATGAAGATTTTACGAACCTGATAAATTTCCCCAGCTTGGCATCATAAAGACTCATCAACAAATCAGCATCTTCACCTATTCGGCAAACAAAGTTCCTTAACATTACATAAATGTTAAATGTCTGCGGCCAATTCATACTAGTTAATTCATCTTTAGTTTTGTCAATCTGCAAAACACAACAAAAGGATAAAGAAATTTGAAAATATCTTTACAACTTTGAATATCATTACCTTAAATTTTACTTGACTTGGAAGAAGAAAATAATATTAAACAGAAAAAGATGATATTTAAAGATGATATTCTTACCAGTAAACTTATCATGTATCTAGCTTTTCTCTTAATTTCTGATGTCTAAAACTCTCAAATGTTAATGTATAACCCAATTATAATTATAAAACAAAACATTCTCCCCCCCCCCCCCCCCCCCCCTCGATAACTATATCTGCTTGTTTTTCAGTTTTTCATTTGGTCTCATACATAAAACTGTTATGATCAATATATATCTTGTATCAAATCTTCAACACAATTAACCATGTACAGTCGATGCCGGTTATTTGCATAGCCTATTTGTCATACAAAATTATGCAATAAAACGGAGTATGCTTATATCCGAAATGCCAAATTAGGGAGTCAAATAACATTGATTAGAACAGATCAGTAAAGGAAATCCCTGAAGAAAGATGAACGTCCTTAAATTCCACTTACAACATATGGAATGTTGATTTATTCTAATAAAAGTTATATGTCTAGTGTCATACATGTTATTTTATTCGTATTCTTTCAATAAAGTTTATAAACACATTTTGTTTTAGTTTATTTGTGTACCGATGTTTCCATTACCTGGGATACGAAAATAAAACAAATTGTTCTAAAAATTGATTTGTTTCTATGACCCGTATGTACAATGTACATTGTTACGCTTTGATTAAAATAAACTATTTAACAATACTACACAGTTTATAATCATTTTAACAATAGATGTGTAATGAACTGCCTTTGATATGCAGTATTTACCACTTGCACAGTGATGTAACACTGTTTCTTTAACATCGCTAGTTTCGTATATGCAAAGAAGTAATGGGGCCCTGTACGGGTAATTTGCTGGACACGAGTGTTGAACGTGAGAAAATATAATAATCAGAAGTAAATGTTCTTTTAAAAAAATAATAAAAATAAATGATTGACATATAAAATTCTTCAACCATATATAAATGCCCTGTAATATTTAGCATAAATGCAGATCACCCCAAGCCTAAATACGAGAGTACACATTGGATAACATTGGATAATTGGCAGGCGTTATTGTTTTTATAATTCACCCCAAATGTAATCTAGTGCTATGGACAATGTTTGAAATCCAATCAATAATTAACACCTTTTTATAACAATTACCTGTTTGAGAATTTTATGACCCTAGAGGCTTAAAATAGAACATGGGAAACTTTACCAGTGTACACATCGAGGCTTATTTTAAAATCAAATTCCACCATTTAACACGAAGAAACTGTTTTAAAACTTTATTTAAATAACACAAAAGTAAATATGAAATAATAACGAAAATAATGGTGCATTCAAGAAAATATTCTTACAAAATTGCCGTTACCAGTCAAAATCTCGTCAGTTTTAACTAAGCATATCTAGCTAGTGATTATTTTCTATGCAATTAACCGAAAGGCCACTTGTAAGGCTATGCATATAACCAGACAATTTAACATTAGATGAATGGGAAATGGTTTTGTGCAGGAGAAAATTATGCAATTAACCGAATTATGCTATTAAGCGGTATGCGATTAAGTGGAGTCAACTGTATAATTAAATATATAAATACTTTTTCTCTTTGCCTGTCCTTAATACCACGGTCCTACAATATCAAATATTTCTAAGTTATAGTGATGTACAAATATTTGAATAGAAGTGTCAGCTTATCCTCTTATACATTTATTCATGTAGATAGCTATTATAAACCTATATATTTTCTTTTATATAGCTTTTAATAATATTTTAATTAATCAAAAAATATCAAACCTGTTCTGACTTTATTCTTTCTGAGGCTTCTTCATGCTGAAATACAAAAGACAATATTAGCACTTGTGAATATTTGTATTAAAAATCACAATCTGATGTTTACTAAACAGTAACACTCATAGGTTTTACATTGTATTTATTCTATACATGTCATATTTTTCTCTGACTGTTTAAGACGTCTTCACACTAAATCCATTGGATGTTGGATGTGTACTGATTGATAATTTAGTCTTAGATGCATGATTTTTTTTATTAGTTGTTATTGGCTTTGAACTAGCTGTCAGTAACTACAAGTATTCTCAGATCTGTACTTAGTGTCTTTTTGTTGTTTGGATGTACAAGTACCCGTCCACGTCCACTCTGTGTTTTTGTTAGATGTATTTCTATTTGTATCGATCTGATGAGTTAAGCCTGTTTCAACTGATTTTTATTGTTTGTTCTTATGTTGTACTGTTACACCACTGTCCCAGGTTAGGGGAGGGTTGGCGCCTTCAATCTAGTTAAACCCCGCAACATTCTGTATGTGCCTGGCCCAAGTCAGGAGTCTGTAATTCAGTGGTTTGTTGTTTGTTGCTGTGTTACATATTTATTTTTTGTTCATTATTTTGTACATAAATTAGGCCGTTACTTTTCTCATTTGAATTGTTTTATATTTGGCATTTCAGGCCTTTTATAGCTGACTATGTGGTATGGGCTTTGCTCATTGTTGAAGGCCGTACGTTGACCTATAGTTGTTAATTTCTGTGTCATTTGGTCTCTTGTTGAGAGTTGTCTCATTGGCAATCGTACCACATCTTCTTATTTTCATATGTACGTTTTTTACCGAAATCAAATTCGGAACATGAGTATGTGGTAAACCAATTACCACCTCTAACTAGAACTATATAAAAATAAGGAGATGTGGTATGATTGTCAATGAGACAACTATCCAACAAAGTTCAAATGAAGTGGATGTAAGCAATAATAGGCAACTCTACTGTTGGTCAAAAGTATTTAAATAAATTCATCAACATAAGAAAAGGAATATTTTCTTTAATGTAAATTTATCATTTTCATGTGGCTTATTCAAAATGTTGTAACTGAACGAAATTTTAGATCATGCTTAGCATTCTTTATCTCAAAAAATTTAACTTATTCAGGTTATCCAAATATCAGAATAAAAAAAAACACAATATTCTTAATGTATCAAAAATATAACATCTATTCAAATGCAATAGTTTTGATGATTCTAGTTATGAAATCATCAGACTTAAGTAAATTTCAATTCTCATAAAATGTGTTCCTGTACCAGAGAGCATCCTACCTGTCTAAACAACTGTATTGTACTTGTTATATCTGGATCCAGAACACTACCAAGTTCATCTCTAACAACCAAGTCTAATCCTAGCAACCTGATAAAGTAATAAAAGCAAAGATTAGAAAATTACTTTTATTTAGTACTGGAGTATTTTTATTATTACTGTACCAATTTTCGTGGTTAGAGAGAAGATTGTATTTTCATGGATATTTGAACACATGGTTTTGTCAATGTTTGCAGACAAACCTATATTCAAAAAATTATATCATTGAAAATTTAAATTTGTGGTTCGCTTATACCCATGAAACCTGAAAATGGTGGAGGCAATCATTCAAATCATAAGGAAAAAAAATCCTAACAAATTTGTCTTATTTAAATTCAAGCATCATATAAATTGCGTTGATATAATATTGATTCATACTCTATGAAATAATTAGAAGAATGTCTTTCCAAATGTATTTCAGTTGTTGATAACTATTTTGTGGAAACTCTCATAATGTTTTGTGCAGAACACAGTTTTAAAAGGTCATGATGGGAAATTTATTTTTAAATGAGTAAGTCTTAAAATCATAAGGTTGGTCAGTTAATTGAAAACATTTCTTCTAAGCCTATAAAAACTTACGCATTTCCTAAATCTATTTTTGTTGCAATTCTCTGCTGAATGTCTCTCAGTTCTTCCTGAAAAACCAAATTGTATTGCACTTTATAAGTTATACATCTGACTAATGGACACTGTACTATGTGCCATATCAACAGTCATGTTTCAATTTGAATATGACAACCAAAATAATCTTTACATACTTTTTAAAATACACTTCTACTCATAACTACCATATATATATACCGGTATATATATCTAAACTATGAGCAGTGCATTATGAAATTGATGTAAGACAATCCGTTAAGATGGATATTATGTGTAGTTTACATCTTAATGTATTTATGAATGAATTTTCATGTTGATAACACATTAACAAATTTTGATCAATCTACCATCAACCTTAATTTCAACCTTATTTCTAAACAGAACTATAAAATTTAGATGACATTGGATTGGATGGATGTACAGGCCAAAGAATATATAACTCCTGCATCAATCCTAGCCACTAAAATACACTTTTCTCATGTAAAATATTACCCATAACCTCAAATGCATTTCAAATTTCTCATCACAAAAAAAGTGTACATTACACAGATTATTTCAATTGAACTTTAATTGCTGGTTTGAAAATATGTCTGCTTCAATTTACTTAAACAAGTTCCTTTTTGGTATTTCCAAAATTCATGGAACATCTCTCATAAGAAATAAACTGTTTATACAAAAAAAATTATTTAAAAAATGGTTACCGCTGTAAGTTTTCGAGACATAATTTTTCTCCTCTGATCTATTAGTTCTTGCATCATGTCTTGAACAGCCATTAGTTCTGGTCTTCTCTCCTAAAAATATCAAAAATACAGTTGTAATCTGTTAAACAACCAACTGTAACAGTTTCTGTTTAATTTATTTTTTCGACTCTATTGCTTGATATATTGCATAGACACCTGTTGGTTTTTTTTGAAGATTATATAATGTTGCCCTCTTGATGTCTTTTGTTTATTTGTTTTGATAGGTTGCTGAATCATAGACATATACCCTTCCCCTTTGATTCATGTATTTTTGTCTGGGTTCTGTCTCAATGACATATACCCTTCACCTTCATTCATAAAATCACATTTATATTCACTAGAAGAATCAAAATAAGTTTTATTTGACTAAATTTGAAAGTTACAAAGACAAATTGTTATTCAACATTCTACATTACGTGTGTCCTGAATATGCATAAAATTTCCCAGTATCAGAAAATATAAAGTAGGTATCTGACAGATCTGCAAGATGCACACACATTAAAACTCATCACTGTAAAGCTGTTGACCAAATTAAAAGCATAAAGTCATTCTGTTCATTAGTACTAAACTGGATAATTGTTCGAGGACAAATTTTAACTTCATTTCAACATAATGAAAAATCAAATGTATCAACAAACAGGATGTTGGTGTCTGACTGATCTGTAAAGTGCTCATATGAACAAGTCATCACATTCAAACTGCTGACCAAATAGTCATTCTGTTAAGTAGTACCTGAGAAAAGTGTGATGGAAATATTTCTTGAAGGAACAGACAGATGGACAGACAAGGTAAATGCAATATAGCCCCAAGACTTAGAGCGGGGGTATTGAAAATTTTTGTTACATGAAGATATTTGTATTAGAGAAGATCAAGAGAAAATTTTGATTTCAACCATTTCCTCTCCTCTAATCAAACTTTCATATTGGTTCATATGCATAATTATGATTTGTGACCTCAATTTGCATGTAAAATGTCATTTAGTAAAATGTATCAAACAATATTGTTTCAGACAATCTTGTCTCAATCCAAATCTAGTATCATAATCAGAAAACTGAATGAAACGTAGTAATTACCACAAAAAGCTGTTTCCATATGTTGTGCCATTCTCGAAGTACAGTTGTAATCTCTTGAATAAGTGGTAGCTCTAATGTTGTAATCCTTCCTGATAAATCTAGGGAACTAAGTAAAGAGAGAAAAGTACACTATCATTACCCTTTCTACAAATTTCTTATCTGTGTCCAAACATACATCAATACTCGTATGAACATATTTTTAACTAAATAAAACAACCTTATTTTTAGAAAAGGATCTTCAATCAATAGCCAAGATGTTATCTTAATAATTATTCCATACTTTGGTCTGTCTTTTTACTAATTTGTTATGATCCTTTTTTTCTAGAATAACAATTCTAATGCATTTTTTTGTATAGATGGATCTGATTGGATTACAACCAACCTTAAATTCTCAATCTCCCTGTCTGTAACTTCAAATAAACTGCTTTGCCAAGCGCAGCTGGATACGACCACAGAGGTACAACCCTGAACAGTTGGGGAAAAATGGACACAATATTCAAGCTTGATACAGGTCTGAATTTGGATTGTAATTAAATATTTGTCACATTTGATGATGCTATTTTGAAAGATGCTACTATTTTGAAATCTGGAATTCATTCATATGTGCATTCTTCAATAATATACAAAATACAAACGAAAAGTGAACCAACGCCTGATGAATCTGTAGTACGGTAGAGTCCCAAAAGTGGATACCTTGGGTATGCAGGGTCGTTATGATAAAGCACATACAATGTAGAAAGTCTTATAACAACAACACTTTAGGGACTGCTGCAGAAAATTTATTGATCTACATGTTTCGGTGCCTAGGGCACCATCATCAGGATAAAAACAATACAGAAAATTGCATCTGAAGTACAAAATCAGGTATGCATAAATTACGTCCCAATGTAACCATGGTGAGTATAAATAGAAAGTGAAAGTATACATGCATGGAAGTGAACTTAAACAAAAAGTTGAATAAAATGTGAATGTCATTGAAATTTAAATTTTGTTGAATGAATATGTGTTTGTCATCTTACTTAATGGAACTAAAATATGTAATAAGTTATTGTCCGGCTGTGTACAGTTTGTGTTTGACCCAAATTTGAACGGCACTTTACTTGCAAATAAACAAAATAGTCACATTTCTTACTAGAAAATAAATCTCCTTTTTATTCAATCTTGGAAGCATATGCAAAGCCATAAAAAGTCTTGTGTGTACTTTTGACACTGAACGCATACCAATGACAGCAGACATTTTAGGTGCCAAAGATCAGAAAAATATTTGATGGAAATTTCTAATCAAGGATCACAGATTTTTATATCAAATGATGATTGAAATGGAAGGTTTTGTCTATTTTGCATTAGAAAAGAGATACTTGTATTATATGTTAGGCTTGGCTTACATAAAACTTGGTTAAACTGTTGCAAACATCAGTTTACCTGTCTCTATTGGTAGGCCAAGCTTAAAATACAAAACAGTCATCTCCTAAATACACTTTTGCTAAGATCTCAAAGGGAGATAATCTATATTTTTCAAATAAAATCTTGTCAATATGCAATATAGTTTTGCACATTGTTTCTTTATCGCTGTAATAAAAAATTAAGCATGTTTTCTGGAAAGTTATCCTTTATGTCTGCCTAATTTGCTGAATTTTTCAGCTAACAATAAATAGTTACCCTTTATCTTTTTAAACTGGTACCTTACCCTGTTTTATTTATGCCTATTTCTTTTAGACGAACAAATTTCTTGGGAAAGATTCCCTTCTTAGTTTTGTCTTTCGAAAGTTGACCTCTGTACCAGTCTGAAATATAGATATACATATATTTTTAACACTGACAGAGTAAACAAATTCTCAATAGATTCATCTTATTTCTTATGTATAATAGCAAATAAAAATAATCAAACTTTCGCTAATCCTTACACCATAACAATATTTACCAGAATAACACTTTGTACTGTGTTTGGTTAATAAATATTGTAGAGCCAATACACCTTCCTAATTTCATGGAATGATTTTCAATATAAGAATCTTGGTACTTTTTTCTTTTCTTTCATTACATTTCTCTTAACTTCTATTTTCAAATACAATGCCAAGCATGTTGAGTCAATGACTAGTTAGGCATCTTGAGCATTAAAACCACCAATTCAACTATTAGAAAAATTTCAAATAATTTATAATTCTCTGGATAACTAGTGCCCAATCACGAAATTTTTAAATGTGTTAACTCCTATAAAAAAATTTGTGATCCTCACTGGTTTTTCCAACTTAATAAAAATACATGCACAATGTAGTGTTAATTTAAAGGTTTTATATAAATTGTATCATATATTTCTTTAATAATTGTCAGATGGGAATGCTAACAAGGCAATTTAATTTCTAAATAAAAACCATAACTAAAAAAAGACCCATCATATAAATCGGATCAAACCTTGTGAATAATTGTACGGCTCAGAGACCTACAAGGCATTATTTTACATAATTCATATTTTAAAGGGACATACATCCCAAAAGTTTTTTTTGTCCACTTTTGATATTGCTGATTTAATACTCTAACATAAATTTAACCAAAATCCATGAAGAACTGTAAGGATCCAAGTGTTTATAAGAAGGATGTGCAAACAGACAGACAGACCTAGCATTTCTATATTTCCTCTGCTTTGTATTGCTGATGGAAAAAAGGAAAATATTGACACATAGAAACCAAAGTGATTAACTTCTGAATTTTTTCACAATCTGTATGACTAAATAAAACACTCTTTTAAATATATATGTATAATGTAAAATTTAAATGAAATTAAATGGTTTGATAAAATAACAGATCTTTAGCTTAAAATCACCAAATTTATGGTTTCTGTGACAAACTAGATGTATTTCTTCAACATATGTTGACTACATATCCTAAGCTCATTATTCAGCTGTGGTCCAATTTCAAGAAATTGCAATCAACTTAAACAATAGGAAGTAGGAATGATATTGGTTTAAAGTATTATCAGATTTAACATCCTCAATTCTTAAGTACCATATTATATAATACTTAGTGATGTTTATAAATGTTCATCATACACGTCTATAAACTTTAAGTATCGTACATTTGACACTAAATAATGGCTTAAGACAGGCATTTTTTCAATATCTTCATTAAAGTTATTACAAACTTAATTTACATTTTCCAAAAACCCAAATAAAGGAATGTAACATAAAAGATTTATAGTATTTTCTACGTGAACAAAAAATGTAAAAATAGACTTAAAACATAAATGATGTAAAACTTCATTAGCAGATTTTTTTAGTTTTGTCTTTATGATGTAATTTAGGTAATTTGGTGATAATTATAGATTATTGATGGTTTTTCAAACGAGAGGGTGTTTCTCAACTACAATCTCATCGAAGGGCCATAGCCCTGAGATGAGATGTGGCTGAGAAACATCCTTGAGTTTGAAGACCATTGATAATCTGTTTATAGCTATTTTGCTGTTTTTGATGTTTACATTGACAACGTCACATGTACCCTCAGTTTCTGTCAATAATTTTCTATCTCAAGCTAGTAGCATGATATGAAAAATTATCACAAAAAAAAGATCAAAGGAAAAATACACAAAATAGACATAATGGAAAATATTTGATAGTCTTTGTTAAATGTATTAACATTTCTAGAGTTTGGTGATATAGAGCTTGACATTGAACAGAAACTTGTCTATTTCCAAAACCAAAAATGAATCTTTATATGTCTATTCATCTTTTTGTGTCCTTGTGTTGCTGTCTCATTGACGTATATCCCATATCTACTTTTATTCATATGAAAATGTTTTCAGTATCAGTTGGATGTCAAGTAAATCATAGGTTAGTTCACAAGATACAAGCTATTTCACCTGATATTACTTTCATTCAAATCAATTTTAAATTAGGTTTAGATATAATTTATATTCCACTGACCAGTTGCAATGTATAGCTTATGCAAATAACCAGTAACAGGACTTTAAAAGTAAACATACCATCCCCTTCTTCATAGATGAGTACCACATCTCCAATAAATAACTTTAAAAATCCTACTCTATCAACCTTAAAATTGCATACAGCTGAAAAAAAGTAAAATAAATTTGAAAGTACAATATACATGATATATGAATAACTAATATTTGCAAAACATCGACATAAACTGATTATTCATGGACTCTTAATTGTTTTATATAGTAGTCTGAAATGTACATACATGTATATGCAGTTTTCATATAAAGCAAATGGTAGTAACTAATAAGTAATAATGATATCGTTACAGTCAAGAAATGAAAATTTGACATAGGAAAATGTTGGCACCAGAAATATCGCCAGCAGCCGTATTTTGTTGCCAGATGAAATAAAAATCGCAAATTTGCGACATTGGCAAAGCCCAGCGCTGTCCCTGGTAGTTTGAGCAAATAGATATTAGAAATTAGTATAAATGCTTATTATACATGAAATAAAAGAGAATACAACCAAAACTCTTTTTTTTTATACAAGCATACCTGGTACATTTAAAACCCTGACAGATATATATTTGGATTTTTTTGGTGATAAGAAAGAATTTCCCAAGATAAAGACCATAAATCGTGGTCCCTTATTTTTAGTCAATGTTGTTTACGTTTAATTTTCAATTGATTTCTTGTGGACATGATGGGCAAAAATTAAATTTTTCCTGCATTTTCCAGTTTCTGATAAGAGAAAGCAATACAACTGCTTTCTAATCATACTGTGTACACTGTGTGTGTTTAAAAGATTATTGCCTTCCTCATATACAATCCCAAAACTTAATGAGGTCCAATAGCGACAATATTCTTTACTAAATACATATCAAAAAGATTTCAGTACCTACACTCTAAATTTAATTTAACAAGGAAGTTAACATTAATTGTTTATCTTCAAATTGATTCATATCAGGGAGATGGTTTAATTCACAGGAAACCTGGTACTAACATTAGAACATACAGGAAGTTAGTATCAATACAACATATTGGACCTACATTTTTGTTGTACTCCCTTAGCTAGTATTAAACCCCATAATATTTTGCAGGAAGAAGGGTAGGGTATGGTACAATCTAATTAAAATTAGCTCTCCGCACTTGCTCCTCGTTGTTTATATGTCGCGCAACATATAAACAACGAGGAGCAAGTGTGGAGAACTAATTTTAATTAGATTGGGTATGGTAGTCATTAAGAAATCCTAATAAACAGCTTTGTCCAAGTTACAAAAAATGTATACGTATCCCAAGGCACATACCATAGTATTTTGTAGGATAAGGGGAGGGTGTTGTAATCTTTAAGAAATCTTATTAAACATCTTTGTCCATGTTATACCTATCCAAAAAGCACATAATTATCTTTTTTTTCACAGCAGTGCATATTGTGCAAACTTAATTTAGGAGTTAAAAAAAATCTGTTTAATGATTACAGTTACATGTACTCATGTCAAAACTGTATACAGAGACTAATACATGGCCTTTTTCATATCGGCCTTGGTATCATCCCAGGACATTAGTTGAGGGCTGCTATGGGTCGAGAGATGATACCTGGGATGATATGGAAAAGGACATGTATCAATCTTTTTATCATATACTTCCAACAAATAACTATTATATGAGGCAAATAACATATATATATTAATCTTTTTTGAGCCAATTTCAAATAAAATTTATATTTCGAGACAATTATGGTTATTTTTCATATACCGCAACTCTTACAATTGTTCCAAATGAAATATTTGTGGTAAAAGCCATCATTTTTTAAATTTAAAGCGGACGACATAAAAAATTCCATAAACCGGTATTCTATATTGACGTCATAAATAAAACTCTACAGAAACGCATTGTCAATGTCATAAACAAGGCAATATATGGTAAGAGACTGTATATCACATATAAATGTACAGTCAATGTAATTTGACAGCTAAAATAGCACAGTTGCAACATTAATAAACTGATCACCCTCTGTCATGTCTTTTTGCGTCACATATTATCTGTAAACAGATGACAGGATTTATTGAAATGTATGAACTGAAGCCGTTTAAATGTGATTTTTGGATACAGAGGACACTGTTAAAAAAATGCTGAGTGGAATTATGCTCCCATGATTATTCACATAAAATTGAGAATGAAATGGGTAATGTGTCAAAGAGACAACAACCCGACCAAAGAGCAGAAAACAGCCGAAGGCCACCAATGGGTCTTCACCACAGCAGCGAGATAATCCCGCATCTGAAGGCGGGCTTCAGCTGGACCCTAAACAAAAATGTGTACTAGTTCAGTGAAAATGGACATCATACTAAACCAATGAGCCAAACATACCTTGTTCAAATTCAGATATTGCTGTAATTGTCAGCTGTACTTAATAGTTTGTTTACTTAAAATATGGTAACAAGTTCACATGTACCATGTGTACGTACATGGATGAGTACTGGAAAGCAGCAAATATATATAAAAACACACTGTCCTTTCTTGAAACTGAGGACAGAGGGGCACAGATCTTTAAAATGGCCCCTTTTGTGTGGTTCTCATTTTTACAACAATAAAGATTTTTCTTTTACAATAATACATATAAGAAGCATCTTCATCTGTTTTCTTTACCAAAAAATAACTTCCTTCTTACACTGTAACAGCAACATGTGATTGGAGGATTCTGATACCTTCCTCATCTATAAAGGTGTCTTTTTACTCAATTGCCTTTTTTCAAGGATTAATCACTATCAAGAATTTGAAGATACTGTGTCAGGTAGATTTATGCATTTCCAAATCTTCAATATAGTATCATCCTGGATTATGGTCTTTTTCATTTTTTATATAATTTCATATTTGCATGATGACAGGGTGTTTTCTGAACTTGACTACCCAGGAGGGTCAGATAATTTAAATGACATGCACTAAAGGCCAGCCAGTGTTCTATAAGTTTCATATATTATGATCCTGATAAGGCAATTCCAAATTAAAAACTTGTTGTAAACCAATTGGAGCAATAAATTGAGCAAGATTTTTCTTTTTTCAAAATGTATTTTTTAGCAAACAATACCTGAATTTGGTGAAAGAAAGGTACATTTTCAATTTTATTCTTCAAAACTTCTGTTTTCAGGAGCGAAAAAATATGTTTTTAACATAAAACTTTTGAACTTAATTGTAGGTCAAGCGATGACATTTTAAATTAGATTCATTTACCGGTAACTGGAGTGATAATTTAGAAAGTCTTCAGGAAATGGCATATTTATCATGTTTTATAGGTTTCCCAAATTTTGGAGCAAGTGAATTCGAAGAACTATGAATCAATTTGGAGAAGCCTAAACAAGAAATTTTGAAATATCAGCTGTTTCTATTCTAATAATAAGAGCATCAAATCAAAAACACATTTCATAAGAATTCTCTAGCAAAATAACATCACATTACCGTGATGGTAAAAGGCCCTGGAGAGAACACTGCATCATTAAAAAAATTCAGATTGCACAAACCCATCCAATGTCTCTTGGGAATGTGTACATGTAGGTAGGAAGGAAATTCTTTTTTCGAACCCAGAGATGTGAGAAATGTATCAAGCCATTGTCTTTCTAAAGAATCCAATGGGTGGCCTTTTTCGTAAATAAGCATTGAATTTACTAGTAAACATATTAAATTTTTAATTGACTGAAATATACAAATAACAGTTTAACAACAAAATATGGAAAGAATGGAAGGGTATAATGGAGCAAAATACTTGACAAAACAAGCTTAATTTTGCAAAAGTAAAACAAGAATGTCCTCCCGAAAGTTGCTTTTTTAAATTAACAAACCAAAGTTTGAAATTTCTAGATTCAGAAATATGTATACAAGGATATAAATTTTAAAACAAAAATATCTTAGATATACATGATTTTGTACATGATTTTTCAACATTATAGTTTCAATATCAACTGAAAAATTTCAGAACTTTGACACAAATTCAAATGCATGCTATGCATTTTTGAAAATCTTTTTTAAAGGCAACTAAAGAAATACTAGTACAAATGTACATTTGATCCTTATGCTTTCAATATACAAAAACAATAATGTAAAGAAAAATTAGTAGAAAGAGGAAGGATATTATGATGAACTTACAAGTATCAAAAATATTAACACACATGTTTTGTTTTTTCAAACAGCAGATCAAATAAACTATCAAAGAAAGAAATAGCACTAACTATGAGAACTCTTTGATCACACAATATCACATCAATGGGAAAAAAACTAGAATATTGTCTTAGAAAACATGGCCATATGATATAATTCAAGACAATCCACAGTTCCAAAAATCAACATTGTTACAAAGCATTTGAAATAAATCAATTTCACACAATACAAATTAATTCAACTGTCAATAAAAACCTAAAGATGTCAAAGTTACAGAAGGAAATACTAATATCATGCATATGATAGCCGGTAATTTTATTTCACTCTGTAAACGAAATAAATGAACTTGCATTGAGGGTAATGATATTTAAAACAGAATTACTTACATATTACAATGCAGTTCTCAAACTATGGATAAGTGGTGAGACTTCAAAGAGAAGTGCTTGTTCGCCTGCAGCACTGTAATGTTTGTTTTTTTACAATAATTATTTTATATAAAGGGCCATATGTATCCTACTTATTGAATTCTTTTCTATATTGTTCAAATCATACCTGAGAATACAATTTAAGTAACAGTTGTCTCAGTTTATGTCTTAAATTGTCATTTATCGTTGATTAAATTCATTGTTTCTCATTAAAAAGATATATACATTGTATAAAGTTAACAAATTTAAGCCACTTAAATCAATATATTGAAACAATGCATTTACATTGTAATAATATATACATTTAACTATGGGGATCTGACCAAATGTCTGTTAATGCATGTGGGATGCATATTTTTTTTACTTTGTGATCGTTTGTCTTCTCTCAGCTGAGCCGTAGCTGAGCCATTCGTGCGTCTGTAGTTATTATCATAAGAATATGGGTTTCGGTCAATGTTTGACAAGTGATTTGGAAAAGAATATATCGGTTTTAGACAAAACAAAAAAAGGCAAGATACTGGATCAAAATACATTACAACAGAAGACAAAAGTGTGAATAAATTTTCTGTTGTTGCACACAGTCACAGTCCCTAATCATAATCATATTAGACATAAACGACAATTTTATACTTATAATGATAGGACAGAAGTGATTTTCGTCTACAAAGCATATATATATATATATTTGTATATCAGGTGTAGAATTAGCAAATATGTTATGAATCCAAAAAATAATTTGATATAAGAAAAATGTGTCTATAGGAAAAAGATGCCCAGGCTTGTAAATATACGGTAAATTCAGCAATTTTCCATTAATAAAGGGACATAACTCAAGAACAGAGAAAGTGCACCATCCAAATTCGAACTTGATCTGTGTTTGGTGGTAATAAGTATTGTGTATATGTTTCATACCATGTGGTTGAGATAAAGTAAAGTTAGACTGTGGAAACAACAAATTCAGTATTTTTGTATATCTATTTATAAAGGGATATAAGGCAAAAAAAAATAAATGTCTGTTTAAGGTTACATCATTAAAAAAAAATAGGAATATAACCATTTGATTTTTTGCGACATGAATTTGAGTCGTGCAGTCCATCTTGATGTGGTCCGAGTTGTTCATGGGCCGAGTTTACCCGTATTATTAATGATTGGATTATTTCCCTTGGTTATTGGTTGGAAAAAATGGCAGCAAAATGTTTATTTCATCACACGAGTTTCCTTAAAACAGCTGTCATATTCACGATTGTGAACATTTAGATGTATCATGCATTTGATTTATTTTTTGACACGAGTTCCTTTACTTTTTCACTTTACAACAGAAATAAAATGACTTAGGGTTGGTGTTCAAAAGTAGGGTCGGTCAAGTAACCATAAACAGACATATATTGTTTTGGCCTAACTGCAGAAAGTTGATAGTGACACCACCAAAATTTAAACATGATATGCGTTCTTTGGTCATAAGCACTGTGTATAAGTTTCATAACATTTAATTGAGGCAAACAAAAGTTAGAGAACTAAAACCAATTTTGGGATGTACATGTACAGACAGACAGAGTGAACCATAATGCCCTTTTGGCCTAACGGCAAAAAATCATGATCTAAAACATAAACATTTAGACTTTGGATGTTTTTTCTGGGTCAGTTGTGTTTTGCCTGACTGACATTTTTGATATCTCATCTGGGACCAAATTTAAAGATATTTCATTTTAACATGTCATTTGTAAGTCAGATCTCAAATTTTGCCAGACTATTAATGTAAATGTTGGGAAAAAAATGTGCAATAGGATCAAGTGGAACTATATGCTTTAAATATCGTCACATATTTTTTAACAGATATACCATGGTCAGAACGACCATGGTTAAGTGTGGAATCAACAAAACTGTGTCAATCTCATCATCAACCTCCTCAACATCACTTCCTTATCCATTTTTTACAATTTTTATGCAGTTTTTATGACAAATTTGGTTGCTTACCTATACCATGTTTTGATTTGCTATCAAATTTAACCCACTTGGTCATTTTTATGATTATTCATGTCAGAAGATTAATCATAACTTCATTAAAAATTCCACTACACAAAATGTAAAAGTGTACACAGACGATACTCGACTTCCATTCGTGTCACGTGATTCTACTTTCTTTTCCGGGTTAGGCGCGCGCACTGTATCCAAGGATATAAACAATATGGACGTCGAAGTTTCATTTTAGAAATTTTCAGTTGTATTTCACAGTTTTTAAAGGTTTTATCTTTGGTTAAAAAAAAGTTGAGAGGAAGGTAATTATAAAGAGTTAACTAAGTGTGACGTTAACTTGCCTAGAGTTTCTTTAGCTGTAGTTTCACGTCTGTACGACTGTAGCTGCAAATACCCTCAAGTCCAGTAATTTCGATCGTCCTGCAAGTCCGTTGACCGGGTCCCCATTTTGTGGGAACATTTGGTTGATTATTTAGCGAATGACTGAAGCATGACTGGTGGCCCCCCTTATGAAAATTTCTGGATCTGCCACTGAAAACTGCTTTTATAGATGAAAAAGTCTATAAATATAGTATAATTTTTAGATATTTATGTCATATTTACTCAATAGACGTATTTACACTTGTATGCAAATTTGTACGCCATTACGTAAAATCACACAGGTTCCCGTAAACTTTGACATCATAATTCAAAACATTTGACGTCACAATTAAAAAGTGATTGTTGTCTGACGTCAAAAGGTGATTCGGAGTAGATCTAAGGCCTAGTCATTCGGAGGCAAAATATAGCTAAATACCAAAAGTGTAAATACGTTTATTAAAGTACAATACACCTTATCGCTAATTGTCCTCCATTACTGGACATCACAAAGGTTCCCGTTAAATTTTGACGTCATAATACAAAATATCTGACACCACAATGGAAAAGTGATTGTTGTATGACGTCAATAATTCAAGCGGGACAGATTCTTGGGTCAGCCGGGACATATTTCCAAATAGCGATAAGGTGTATTTAGCTTCTTGGATTTGATTTGTATGTCTTTCATACCTGCCAACTTTTGAAATCCCCATTGGGGTTTTAGTGTGTGACACCAATTTCAAAGGTTACAAATAATTATTTTTTGCAGCGTTTTTAGCGTGCTCTGTTTTGTGCTCCAGAAAAAGGGTCTAATCTTTTTTTTATATGGTATATTGATGATGAGTTTATAAGCCTTTTTCTTCTTTTTATTTGCATGATTCTAGTACTTATAATATAGTGTAGAAAAGATGAACAAGTAGCTTGAATATCAGGATATATTTTCTTGTGTATAATATTAAAGTGATTATTGACTTTTCCAATTTAAAAATATGCACAAAGAAGGACATTCATCTGATTCCTAGTGAAAAATAAAAAGTAGTAGTAAATTGTACTTAAAATGATTTGGTAATTCAATTACAAGAATGACAGAATTTATGGTATGATCTGTTTCAATAAGTGTAATGTCCATAAGCTTCTATTTCATTGTGTAAGGTAGTACTGCATCTTTGAATTTTGTCAATCAGCCATGCTCTTCTTTTTAAGCGGTGTAAAAACCTCATGAAAATTCATCTGCAATGATCATGATTTTTACAATTCTGACATACAGACAGAGGAATACAGGTGTAATACAACCAAATAATAGTATATCACATCCGGTTTCATACGAAAAAGGCCTAAAAAAAAATATTCCCTTGAATTTGACAGTTGTAGGAAATTAACCCTGCATTTCATTGCAGAAAAAAATTTCTGAGTCATAAACATACATCTTGGGTGTTTCAAAGCACCATTCTTTTTTGATTTGCTGTTCCTATAAAATATTTTGGAAACTTCAGGTGACATGGTTATTAGACCTTGTTAACAAGAAAAAAGGTGTGAAAATTTGATTGGGCCTGAACAACTTAGGATGGATCGACATGAAAGCATTTTACTTTGAGTTCCCTGTAATGCCTATAGTTTAATATAAGGGTTCATTTATGATAATGGTTAGGTTAGGGGATGTTCTATGTTAACTGGTTAGGTATTGATTGGTATTTCCTACTTTTCCCCTAAGCTTGCAACATGATATGGTTACTAAATCTTCATACAATTTTGTAATAAACGGTTCCATTGATGTCATTTGAGTTATTCTCTTTGCCAACATGTCCGAGGGCAATAAGCATAAATTTTCACAAGTAAACTAAATTCAACCTGTTTTAGTAAGTTATATTGACTGCTAGACATCAGAAAAAGTAGTTTTTTTAAACAAGTTTTGATTAAATTAGCCTTAATTAATATTGTTTAATTCATCACAATGATCTGAAAAGGATCTTTTACCAAACTTGATTGGAACACATGTTTCAAGTTGATAAATTAAAGAAGATAATCAACCAATTTGTCTACCATCAAGGGAAACAAATCCAAATTATGTCACGGAAAAACCATATATATATAAATAATTATTATAAAGTGAGGATGGGTTTAAGTTGAAATAGTTCAAAATTTTGTCAAAATGATAATCCTCATTTAACTCAATATACAGTATCACAATCAAGGTTGGCAAAAAAGCAGTCAATACTAGAATTGACCATGCCGGCTGTAAATACTGGCAAATACTGGTTGGTTGATTTGCTATATAGTCCCTATAAAGAGAGGATGACTCGAATTGATTGTCAAGGTTAAAGGTCAAGCTGAGGTAAAAAGGCATTAAAACACAATACACTTAAATAGCAATCAATGAGGAATTAGTTTATTGATGCAGAGAAAGAGGGATAGAAAGAAAAGATAGTAACTTCAACTAACTTGGAATATTCTGCTTTGTCATGACCTTATTTTTGTTTGAAATTATTATTATTATTATTAATTTTACAGATCTTAAAAAACTAACCATGTCTAGAGCTCAAGCAGAAAGTGTGATCAAAAACATCATCAGAGAAATAGCACAAGAATGTGCCAGCAAAGGACAAGCTGTATCGGAAACTCTTGTGGCATTTATGGTGAGTACCTATTAGAAATAATGTAAAAAGAATGCATCAGTAATATAGTAAGAAAACATTTGGGGTTTATGGTGAGTAATGATCAGATATAAGATGAACAAAGAAGTAAACATTTCTCTCAAATCTGTAATAGAAGCCATCTTGAACTTTGGCTCATTGTTGAAGACTTCACTATGACTTTCAGATGAAAACACTATGTATGTCAAATACCTTCAAATTTATAAATGATACTGAAATTGAAGCTTTAAACAGTGCTGGTTGCAAAACACACACATAATTTGAAACATTTTTTCATCTCAGTATGACATGTTAATGACATTTTAGATATTATATTTAACCACATAAGTCGTGGTGACAAATATTAACTTATTGGAGAGCAGTATATATATTCAAACTTTAACTTTGACAAGGAATGTATTTTCAGGATTTCTGAATTCATATGTCACTTATATATATATATATATAAGCCATGTCTTGTTTACATATATTATATATATATTATGTTACATTATAAGTTTATACATGTATAGGTGAAAGCTGTGGTTCTTGATCCAGTAAATGAGTTCAATGTGGACAGAACTCTCACTAAAGATGATGTACAGAAACTTATCAAGGTGAATAGTGAAATTTAAAATAGTTTTTTGCCTGATAATTGCAGTAAGAATTATAAATTCCTGTATCTTACCTAGATATACACTAACTGAGATTTATAGATTATCAATGGTTTTTCAAACGAGCGGGTGTTTCTCAGTTACAATCTCATCAAAGGGCGACAGCCCTGAGTCTGAGATGGGATGTGGCTGAGAAACATCCTTGAGTTTGAAAGAGCAGTGATAATTTGTTTATTGCTATTTTACCTATGACGTCATTGAAGTATACATTGACAACAGCATGTGCACCCTAAGTTTCTAGCGATAATTTTCTATCTCACGTGAGTAGTATGATATGAAAAATTATCACAAAAAAGATCAAAGGAAAAATGTAACACAAAATAGCGATAACTAAATTTACATGGTACAAATGAAAGAACAAAAATATATAAGATTTTTGTGAATTATTTTCTGTTGATACAGTGGAATTTTTTTTCTTTTTCAACATACATAGATTTTATATATATATATATATATATATATATATATATATATATCAATAAAGGAGAATTTGGCTATACACCATTGAGACAGCACAAAAAATACAGTTACAGGTAAACATACAACTCAACCAAAGACAGGTGTAAAAATGTTTAACCATATATCAAGCTCTTACTTGCCCACAATCTAAATAAGAATTGGATAAATTTAACAGACCAACATAGATAGATCTGCAATCAACACCAAATTTCCAAAATGACAAAAATACATTAAGATATGACAAAATACAACCCATAATGAGGTTCCTAACTTGAAACAGGCACATGGACATATGGCAGGTCAAGTTTTGTTTTTTTACTTTTGACATAATATGTCTATTTCTCTAATTCTGTGGCAATTTAACCCTTTCCAGACCCATAACTATCTCGATTGGATAAATCCGATAATCCACTGGTACCAATGTAAGAATCTATATTTATCTATATTTATATATAATGCAATTGCATTGTTCTTTTTAAGCTGTGTGTTGATAGACTGATGGATACAAGGACACAATCTTTAGATACAGTCAAAATGCAGGTCTATTTTGATATAATATATGAATTTATATACTGTAATTGTATTGTTCTTTTTTCAGCTGTGCGTTGATCGACTGATGGATACAAGGACACCATCTTTAGATACAGTCAAAATGCAGGTCTATTTTGATATGAATTATACAACTAGATGTAAGTCTTATACAAAATATGCTTTCTTCTGATACATTTGTACCATTTGGAAACCAGTAAAAAACTAAAGTTACTTTCATAAAAGCTGTCATTATTGCGAAAAGCCAAAGGGCACATAAAGTTCATGCAGGTTATAAATATTGCACTGAAGCACAAAAAGTAAATGAAACATACAATGACATTTTTTTTTTTTTTAAACAAACAAAGAATGAATAGAATAAGTATTAATTGTGTAAATTTATATAATGCTAACATAAATTTCTACATCTCAAAACTGCCTCTTAAAACAAGGTAGACATCTCAGGAAAAGGGCATATATAAGATCACATTGTTACATGTGTTGG